AGGACCTTTGTGCATTATTTCAGGCAAAATGCTGCACCTGCAGAGAACCATCGATATTTTTAAACTAGCTTGATAGGTTTTCCACATGAAAGAATAAAAAGTTTTGGTGGTTTTCGAATTCATAGCAGTTCAGTTCAAGTGATTTGAATTCAGTAAACATAAACAGCTCGGCCTCGGTCGGACACACCTGTCTGATTTGTTTTTTCAACAAAATTTGTTAACGTCAGCTGTACAAATAAGCAGATTTTTTTATTAACTTCTGGCGTGAAGTTTTAAGATTATAAATATTTGAATTAATTATAAAGAGAATAACATTTAAATTTCTTATTTCGGTATGACTAACAGAGAAATTTTCAATGTAAACAGGGGGTAATCCTCTGTGAAGACGTTTTCTGAAAATGTTTGTGTAAGTTTTCAGGCAATTCATTATCAAATAAAAATCACACTTTAGTATGAAGGTATGTTAAGATGTCATGTCTCTAGTCTGTTGAAAATTCGGTGCGATAATCTAACCTAAATTTTCTGTTCAATATTGTGAAAACTTCTTCAATACTGTTGAAAAATCATGTCTGCCTATATCTGTATCAAATTTATCGGTGCACAGCGTAAAAATACCTCTGCAAAACGGACACTTTCTTTACAAAATGATTTGTAGTTGTATCATGTGTAACTCGATTTTGAAAATTTAAAGTTTTTTGATGGAGAAGAATGATACTTAAGTGCAAATATAAAAAATACATTCCGTAGATATTTCCTCAACGGCGATAAAGAAATGCGAGTACAACAAATTCAGCGGTAAAGTTCTCGTCGCTGAACATAAAATGACTAAACGGAACGCATAACCTACTTATAATATAATTTTAAAAATTTAATGTTCAGTTTTTAAATTTAAAAAGCTATCTGTCCTCACCGATTATTAAGAAAATGAAATACAATACAATCACCCACGTAAAAGACATTTAAGTAATAACGAAAATTGACAGAAATTATTGCTAATTTTCAAGTAACAAAGATAGGCATGCAATTTGCGGCATAAGCTCTCTCCCGATAGTGAGAGACCTTTTCAAAATTTTGTAATTTTTTTCTCTTTTTTTTATTAAAAAAAGTAATTCCTGATTTTCATAAGGGTCCCGGAGAGGTTACATCTGGAATATTTGAATTTTGTATCAAATAAGGTAAATCCCATCCCATTTGAACTCATGGGAAAAGTTTAAATAAGCATGCAACGCAACACTAGAACACGTTGTCATATGGGTGGTGGCGATCACGTGTTTCAAATGTATTTGCACCCTTGGCAACAGCTTTTCGGAATTTTGTAGGATGCTTTATAGGACTTTAAAAGGCCCACCCGAAAAATGCAGCCTTAATTTGAATTTTTTTACAAATTTCCCTTTTATGAAACCAAGAATTACCCCTGCTTTTTACCCTTTAAGTCCCTAAAAAAGAAAATTTTTGTTGAACGTTATTACTCCTAGCCAAAAAATTTTTAAAAAGTTTTAAAACCCAAAATTCAAACCAATGGAAAAACAACTCGTCGATCATATTTAAATTTTTAACGGTCGGGCAATTTTGTAAAATCATTTTTTTCTTTGAAAAAAAAACACTTTTTTAAGAAAAATTTTGTAAAAAGAAGCAAAAAAATGTTTTAAGTTTTTGGTGAACTTTTAAAACGAGTATAAATTGAATTGAAAGGGAAAAAGATAGATAAAGGGGAATAAAGAACTGCGTCGTTTCCCCACATTTTAAAAAAAATTTTGCCCCCTTCGAGTTGCAAGTTCGGGTATAACTTTTTTTTTTAAAAAAATAGTTGTGCAAGCAAACATATACTGAACGAAGCGGAAAATACTGTAGCGTGTTAATACATATATCTAGTTTTCAGTCATTTCCAACAAAATGAGTTATAAACAAAAACATACATTTTCCGTTCCAAGATGGCGGCGTTTATTTACATTTTGTAGGATACGACGCAGTTTTGATTCCCAGCCCTGTAATAACTCATTTTCATCCTCGCAGAAAACGACAAAAAAAAACAAAAAAAACAAAAAACAAAAAAACAATTGCAACAACATTTGTATTATTTTCTGTATTTTAAGTCTGATTAAAAAAAAAAAAAACACAAAAAAAAATAAAAAAAATAATTAAGTTAGAAGAAAAGTTAGGTTGATTTGCAAAAACTATTGAGTATGGAATGCCGGTAGGGACATGCCAATTTGCTTTATTTTGCCAATTGCCTGAATTGGCTTATTTGCCCCAATTGGCCCGGGGTTTGGGCCTTATTTTGGGGGGCCCAATGGGGGTATTTGGCTTAATGAAAAAAAATTTTTTAAAATTTTAATTTATGTGAATTGGCTAAATTTTTTTGGTTTATTTGTTAAAACCGTTTGGTTTTTAAAGGAAAAAAACTTTTTATTTGCCTTAAAATTTCTTAAATTTTTCTTTTCCCTTGGGAAATAAAAAAAAGTTTTTCACTGGGTTTTCCGGAAGGGATATGGAAAATCTGAAATTAAAACAACCAGTTGAGTCAGAGGAACTTTTAACCCAACCCGTAATTCTTTTTTTTAAATTCCCGGTTTTTCCCAAGTCTGTTGGGGCAATGAAAGTTGGGAGGGAATGCCTTTTTGCCGAATATTTTCTAAATGAAAGGCCCGAAAATGTCCTTTTAGAAACACAGACGCCCTTTGGGGCAGATCCCGGGCGGCCCCAACCCTATACGTGCCCCTGTAAAAACTCTATTTAAAATATTTTTTATATCTAAACCCCGAAGGGAAAATTTTAAAATGGCCAAAAATTTTTAAATATACCGGTAGGAAAAAAACCAAAATACCCCCCAAAATCTCAAAAAAATACTTAAAAGGGTTTTTTCGTTTTAAAAAATGTCCCAAATTTTTATTTTAAAAAAATATTTTAAAAAATTTGGATATAGTGGGAAAGAGGTTTATGTTGGGGCAAGGAAATTTCCCGCCAGCAAACTGTGCTTTTAGAATGCCTTAAAAAATGTTGGTTTTCAAAATAAGATCTTTTTTTTGCAAGCTTTAAGTTTAGAGATTGGTGGCCCTAAAAAACACCCTTTTTTTAAATTTTATATAAATGAAAAATATTGGGTTTAAAAATTGAAAATAAAAAGAAACCCTTTAAAAAAAATTTTTTATTTTTTTAAGGGCCTATAAAATGTGGTTTTTCTAGCAATTTTCAAGAAGGGGCCCCATTTTAGTGGTAGAAAAAACTAAGTACAACAAATTAACATTTGGTGATGCCTTTAACACGGGTTTTTTTCCCCACCCTTAAAGCAAAAAGGCTTCGTTTTTAGCCCCTGTTAAATTTTGGGGACACTTTTTTAGTTTCATTAAACATTTTGCTTTGGTTTTAATGGGGGGGTTTTTGAAATTTTTGGGCAAAATTTTCCATTTTTTTCATATTGAAAAATTTTAAAATGCTATCCCCGGTGAAACCAAAAGGACCATATCCCCTGACCCAGGGTAAAGGGATAAAGGGCAAAACCTTTTTTGAAAATTGTGTAAAGGGATGCTGCCTATTTAAACGGGGTTTTTGTGAAGTAACAGTTTGATATACGCAATAGTTTAAAAAGAAATTTTTGACAGAAAAACAAAAGGTTTTCTCAGTACAAATACATTGGTGACCTTGACATTCAGTATATAACGGGCACAGCTTCTTCATGTACTTTGTATGCATGCTTGTAACGCAAAGTTTATGCAAAGTTGCAGTAAGATGCATGAATCAGCAAAAGTAACAGAGATATGACAGAAAAACACAAGTTACTAAGAATAGCATCCCTATTCTCTGAATAGTGGAGCTAAAACGGAAACTCAAAGATAATTAAAAAAAACAACTACTTTCTGAAACTGAATTTATTTTTTTTCGAAATTGATTAAAATGTATCCATCTGTCTTTCTACCTATATTCTATGGTAATGATGCATTGATCATAATTGTCACAAGTTTATAATTAACAAAACCTTATAAACATAATATTAACATGATATAGTTCATGAGCTTGAAATAAAGTCTACAAAGGACTTGTTATTTTATATCAAACAAGACTTAGCGAGTCGGACGTGTCGCCTGACAATAGCATAAAAAAATATGTATATACATGTATAAGCAAATAAGCAATTAGCAAATAAGCAAATTGGCAAATAAGCAAAATTGGGCAAATAAGCAAATTGGCAAATCAGCAATTAGCAAATAAGCAATTAAGTAGTTGGCAAATAAGCAAAGTGGCATGTCCCTACCGGCATTCCATAATTGAGCAAAGTACATATATTGATGCCTGTTAAAAAGGTAAATACATGGTACAGAATAGACAAACTCCTTTTTTAGAAATGTAACAAAAAATTATTGTTCATATTCAACCAATCTAAAATATAGCTGTAAAATCATTTTTTCATTTTTTTTCCAAGTAAGAAAGATCTATTTAACTTTGGATTCAAAGTAAATTATTGTGGGGGGGGGGTATTAACTGTATTTTCATTTTCATTTGAAATTAAAATATTTTTAACTTCAACATTTGTTTGTTTTGTTACTTTTGAGCAAATTCATCGATCATTTGATACATGTTGATTGTAGGGCTGTCATTGAATATTGTGATATCAATTTATCATCAAAATATTCAACAACCAACACAAATTTCAATATCAATCCGCAATTTAAAATTTATTCATACAATTTAAAAAACCCATTTTCTTCATGTTTTTTGGGAAAATATCATTCTATATCTCCCCTTTTCTTGCCTAAAATTTGAAACACTGGATTTAATTTTTTATAGAAAACTGTAAAGATATGATAACAAGAATAAGTTTATTGTGTTGGTGAAGTATAAAAACGTACATGCTTGTATATCAACCATGATAACAGTTTATTACACATATATTCAAAAATGTACAAGCTATTATACAATAATTGCAGCTTTCGATATAGTGGTACACAATTTTTTCTATCAATTGACAGCTGTAATGTGATTGTCACAATTTTCATTCCAGATCCAGGTCAAATTAAAGCATGAAGCGCGGCAGATACCAGCCACCACCACTCAGAAGTGAGGGGAATGAATTTTCTTTGCGCATGAAGCCTCCAAGGATCGAACATTTTCAGGCTGGAACTGACAATGGCTGTAGTGAGGAGAGGAATGTACAAAAAAGTAAAGCAAAAAAAGGTATTGGGAAAATTAGGCCACATTATGACTAGTCTTAGCAAGATAATGAAGGTTTTAAAATATTAAGCAGGCATGCTTTGCAATTTTATTGCTCCATTATATTCGAAAATGAATGATGGCCACATCATGCACTGCATGCTATGAAAATTCCTTGTCAATTGTCATGCATGTATAATTTTATATATCTATAAACTATACTGAAATAAAAGAAAATACTAATTAAAGCGATGTGTCTTCTGAACTACACTTGTATTTATTTACCTTTCACTCCTTATTGTAGAGGAATTTTTCAACTCCTGCATAGAATGTATCTGAACAGATTTGACAACTATAATCATTAATTACTGTGTACATCTAAGTTTTGGAATTTTGTGATTCAATCATCATTGGTAAATTGGAAAATGAAAACCTTGGCTGCATTACATAGAAAGTCCCGAGTGTATCCTTAGTCTTAAAACAAATTAAAGCCAACTTAAAGCTGCACGCCTCCAGATGGCCAAAAATATTTCGATAAAATCAAACCTGAGAAAAAAATATTAAGATTTTAGGAAAGGTAAAAAGATTAAAAATTCTAGTAAAAATTTACATTTTATTTGTGATTAATGACCAAATTTTTCAATATTTATGATTATATTTCTACTGCATTACTAACACAGTAAGGGCTATTTTTGCATATTTTGACCTCTTTATAGAAATTTACATAGGTTGTAAATGCCATTGATAATAGGGCTGGGGTGAGTATCCGAGTACTCGGATAATCACGAATCAAAGTGAAAAATCGAGTTTGAATATTTGAAAGCACAGAGATCGTGGATCGCGATCTAATTTTCTTTTATACATTCACTGTTTTTCACACACTTTTAAAAAAATCGAGAAAAATACGATGTGAATATAAATTATATGAAGTTTACCTAAATACAATTTGCTGGTGTACCATGATGCTGAGCTAGGAAGTAATTGGTTTTAAAAACAAAACAAAAATACTCCTCAAAAGAATAAAAACATAAACCTTGTTTATATTTCATGTTTAATGTTTAGTATTGTTTTTTGTTTTAAATAAACATGTTTTTATAACTAATGTACATATTTTTATACCGCCCGTTTGAAAAACGGGACGTATTATGGGAACACCCCTGGCGGTAGGGCGGGCGGGCGGTCGGGCGGGCGGGGTCCAATTTTGTCCGGAGCATATCTCCTACATGTATGGAGGGATTTTAATGAAACTTTCATATAAATGTTTCACCACTATGAGGAAGCAGTGTCCGCGCACATGAACCAGGTCTCTAGGTCAAAGGTCAAGGTCACACTTAGAGCTCATTGAAAAATGCTTGTCCGGAGCAAAACTTCCACATGTATAGAGGGATTTCAATATTACTTGGCACAAATGTTCACCATTGTGAGGCGGAGTGTCGCGTGCAAAGATTCAGGTCCTTGCGGCCAAGGTCAAGGTCACACATAGAGGTCAAAGTTCAGATAAAAATATGAAAAATGTGTATATGGACCATTTAGTCATCATTTATTGAGGGATTGTAACACACAATGGTCATTATCAAGACTATGGCTGTGATACATATAATTTAGGTCAATATAATACAAGGTCAAGGTCACTAAAGATGATGAAATATCCAGATTTTGTAAATAGAATTTAATCAAAGGGCAACAACAAAAGTTATTACTTTGTTCATAAATGACTTACACAATTACTTCCCTTGATCTACTTTCACTTTCAATTCTAAAAATAGAATTTAATAAAAAGGGCATGAAATAATCCTCTTTTCTTGGACTTGAGTATGTTCTAAAGAATATAATATTTATTTACACATGTTTCATTCATTGGTCAAGATTCTTAACTGTGATAACTATGGTGTTCTGTAGACTTGGTATTTGTTCATAAAGATCATACAGTAATTACCTTATCAAATGTAAATACTTTCTCATAGAAATTTAATTATATTTTAATTTTCAAGTAAATATCAGTTCAGCTCATTCAAAGATTAAGAATTGTAATGAAGTGTATTTCCCTAGAATAAAATCTTAAATCAGAATTTTTTTAGTTATTAAATTACAATTTCATGTACTTTTTATACGCCCGTTAAAAAAAAAGATAAAAATATGAAGATGTGTATAGGGACGATTTAATCATCATTTATTGAGGGATTGTAACACAAATGGTCATTATAATGACTACGGCTGTGACACATGTACTTTAGGTCAATATATGCAAGGTCAAGGTCACTAAAGATGGTGAAAATATCCAGATTTTGTCGGGAGCATATCTCCTACATGTATGGAAGAATTTTTATAATACTTTATGGAAATGTTCACACCACCATGATATGTATTGCTCCATGCATGATCCAGGTCTCCAGGTCAAAGGTCAAGGTCACACTTAGAGCCTCATTGAAAAACGCTTGTCCGGAGCAAAAACTTCTACATTCATAGGGGGTTTTCAATATAACTTGGCAACAAATGTTCACCATTGTGAGGCTGAGTGTCGCATGCAAAATTCAGATCCCTGCGACCAAAGTCAAGGTTACACATAGAGGTCAAAGTTCAGATAAAAATTTGAAAGATGGTTATAGGGACCATTTAGTCATCAATTTATTGATGGATTGTAGCACAAATGGTAACTATCATGACTACAGGTGTTACACATTTTAATTTAGGTTAATAATTTGCAAGGTCAAGGTCACTGGAGATGATTAAATATCCAGATGTTGTCCCCGGAGCATATTTTCTACATGCATGGAGGAATTTTAATGTTACTTTTATAGAATTGTTTTCACCACCATGAGACGTAGTGCCCTGCACATAAGCCAAGTCTCTAGGTCAAAGGTGAAGGTCACAGTTTAGAGCTCATAGAAAAACACTTGTCTGAGCAAAACTTCTACATGCATAGAGGGATTTCAATATAATTTGGCAACAAATGTTCATCATTGTGAGGCTGAGTGCCGTGCATAAAATTCAGGTCCCTGCGACCAAGGTCAAGGTCACACATTCTGTGCATATCTTCCCTACTGATTTGTTTTAAGGTTCATTTAACAACACAGTGCCAAGAATAAAAACTTGCTTGCTAGATAACACTTATCCATAATGCCCCCATCTCCATCTAAAGCTTTTTCGTAAACGGGCGTATTTTGTGACTATGGCACCCTTGTTATGTGTGCCTTGATAACAAAAGATTTGTGGTTCGATTTGTGAATCGTAAGTGCTGAATCGTGGTTCGGATCGGATCGTCACTTATCCGACGATCCACACCCCTAATTGATAATGTGAAAATTGCATTCTTTTTGTAACTTTCACGATATTATACTGTTAAATACATTTTCAAATTTTCATGAAAATTACCATGAATCTGGAGGCGTGCTGCTTTAAGGACTAACTTAAGACCGTTTCAATAAACATTTTTATCCTCAGTCAAAATACTGCTGTATACTATATAATAGATGTGTTCTCCTGAGAAAAAACAGGCAATGTTCAGGATGTTTTTTAAGATTGTTGATTGCCAGATGTACATACTATTTTGTATATCTGTTCATATTTTGTTTCTGAAGACATACCCCTGACACCTACTGAGCCGTTGTTGAAACTATTGTGCAGGGATAATGCTTGCAGAAAGGTTTTTAACCAATATTTCCTTTCTAAGCAGAGCTCTGGTTACCATTGCAACCAAACACAAAATTTTAACTTGGCAACTTGAGCTAAATTAATATTTTTAGTGTGGCATCATCTCTTGGGTCTCTAGAAATTTAATTTGTTCCAAGTTTACCCTGTGTCATGACTGTCTTATTTACATTTTAGTTGGATTCAACAAATCAGATGTCAAAATGGTACCAACTGATGATAAAAACGAAAAGACCTCAGATGTAGAAATGAGATCAGGTCATACACCTGGTTGCGCTGATAACATGTTGGACTTCAGGGAATCACAGCATAGAAACTCTAAAAGGGTATTGAAATTATACAACATTTTTATGCCCCCGAAGGATGGCATATTAAAATCCCACCCGTCAGTCTGTCTGTCCGTCTGTGCATCCCCACTTCATTTGTGTCCGGACTGTAACTTTGTCGTGCATCAAATGATTTTAAAATAACTAAGCATAAATGTCAACCACATCAAGACAATGATATTGTCACGTCCAAGAATTACATAGATCCCTACCTTAAAGGTCAAGGTCACACTAACCTATTAAGGTTTCACATTATCACAATGAGAATTTAATAGGTACACACCTATCGTGTTCGGGGCTTAAATTTTTCATGATCGAGGATTTTTGAAAAATTGGTATTGTCTACCATGAAAAGTGGTCCGTTCAAATAAAAGCCTACCTCAAAATAACTGGACGTTTAAAAAATTTTGAAAGTTTCACTTTATCACAATAAGAGTTTATAGGTACACACATTTGTGTCTGGACTATAACTTTGTCATGGTCAAGGTCACACTTATTGTTGGAAGGTACTCATGCTCTCGAGAAGAGTTTGAAGATACACATTCATGTCCAGACTGTAACTTTTTATATATTTTATAAATCATTGACAGGTTATAATTATGGTTATGTGTAAACAGTTGATTGTTAACTTATATTACCTGACCTGCCAATTGTATTGCCATTTATACTGGGTCATATAACTGTCAAAGTTTTTATAACTAATAATACATTTATATAATTTTCATATCGACATGTTTTTAGTCCCCTACCGGTTTACCTTAGGGAACTTTAGGTTTACCCTCCGTCCGTCTGTCTGTCCGTCTGTCAGTCCGTCCGTCCACAAAACTGGATCCCGCGATAACTTGAAAATTACTGAAAATATTTTTATGAAACTTGATATATGGATAGATTGCAGTATGGAGATTATGCACGTCTTTTTCTTTTCTTCCTATGTTGAAAATTCTGGTTGCTATGGCAACAAATAGGCTGAAAATATGGCAAATTTTACACATAAACTGGATCCAGTGATAACGCAAAAAGTACTGGAAATATTTTAATGAAACTTGAAATATGGGTAGATGGCAGTCTGGAGATTATGCACGTCTTTTTACTTTTCTTCCTATGTTGAAAATTCTGGTTGCTATGGCAACAAATAGACTGAAAATATGGCAAATTTTACACATAAACTGGATCCAGTGTTAACGCAAAAAGTAATAGAAATATTTTTATGAAACTTGACATATGGGTAGATGGCAGTCTTGAGATTATGCATGTCTTATCTGTTCTTCCTATTTTGAAAAAATATTGGTTGCCTTGGCAACAAATAGGCTTAAAACATGGCAAATATAACAATATTTGTGATTAGTCAAAAAGAGCTGAAAATCTTTATGAAATAGCATCTTTAATTCAAGAGTTATCTCCTCTTTAAGAGTTTTGCTTTTAAAATGTTATATTTTGGTAACAGGGATGTTTCAAATATTAACTTTAGAGTGTCCTTCGGTCCGTCTGTCTGTCTGTTCAGAAAAACTGTTTCCTGTGATCTTTTTTAAAGAACTTTTCCAACAAATTTACTTAAAATAGAGAAAAATTGAAACATTAGTGAATGGCCAATGGCCCTTCAGAATGTTGATGGGGTTCTAACCGGTAGGGGACTTATGGATTGCTTGCAATACTATGATAATTGCATGTTATTATTAGAAATATTTCTTATGCAGTTAATAAATATCATGAAATGCAATTTCTTATTTTAGAAGACACTGTGTAATGGATGTATAGTTTGGGGAAAGTTTCTTAAAACTTGGTTACCAGGAGTGATATTTCCAGGACCAATGGCTGGTCAGAAACCTGCAAAGCCAGGCTGGACATGGCTGATATGGTTGCAAGACTTTAAGATAACTCTAGTAAGTATAACCTTTTATTTGAACCTTTAGCGTGTTGCATCCAGTGCTAACAAAGGTATTAGCCAGGATATCCAGGACAAATGGTTTTGTCCAGAATCAAAGATAGACAAAGTCCATTCAAGATATTGGGCAAGGTAAAAGGAATATATAAATTACTATACTAATGCTATAAATTTGATTTTTTTTCCTTTTTAGCTCGACTATTCGAAGAATATGAGAGCTATTGTAGTCGCGTCGGCGTCCGCGTCTGCGTCTGCGTTGGTTAAAGTTTTTTGTATAGTCAAATATCTCAATCATTACTTGAGATATTCAATTGAAACTTACAATACTTATTTATAGTAACAAGGTACATCAGATTGACAAGTTGGATAACTCTGCCTACAATATTAACAGAATTATGCCCCTTTTTAACTTAGAAATTTCGGTTAAAGTTTTTTGTAAAGTCAAATATCTCAATAATTACTTGAGATATTCAATTGAAACTTACGATACTTATTAATAGTAACAAGGTACATCAGATTGACAAGTTAGATAACTCTGCCTACAATATTGACAGAATTATGCCCCTTTTTAACTTAGAAATCTTGGTTAAATTTTTTTTGTAAAGTCAAATATCTCAATTATTGCTTGAGATATTCAATTGAAATTTAAAATACTTTTTTATAGTAACAATGTACATCAGTTTGCAAAATTGCATAACTCTGCCTGCAAAATTTGAAGAATTATTTGCCCCTTTGAAACTTAGAAATTTTGGTTAAAGGTTAAAGGTCTTTAAAGATATTTACTCGAAACTTTACACATGCACTTAGGGTCATAATTGGAGGGTCATAATTGTATGTCACTGACCAAGTTCCATAACTCTATCTTGCATTAAGGCTGATTCATATCCCCTTTTCTACTTAGTCTCTTGGTTAATGTTTACATGCAAGTTTTACATATCTCAATAACTATTAAAGATATTTATTTAAAACTTCACATATGCATTTAGGGTCATAATTGTAGGTCACTGACAAAGATCCATAATTCTATCTTGCATTTAGGCTGATTTTTCTCCCCTTTTTCAACTTAGAAATTCATGGTAAAGTTTTGCTTGTAAGCTGTTATCTCAATTACTACTGAAGGGTTTGTGCCTTTTTTTGGGACAATTTTATGCATTCATAATAATAAAGCAGTGATTTACTTGATAAAACATCTTAATTAGAAGCCTTTGTACCTTTTCTGTCAAATTTATGTATTCATAGGTAATTAGTATTATTATACTCAATAAAACAACCTTGTGACATTACCTTCCGAATAGTCAAGCCAATACTGTATAATTAGACTCTCTCTAAGGCCTATAACATGAATTTATTAAAAAAAAATTAGACCTTTTGTGATCTTAAAAAATTTAACATTATCAAGGCTCTTTTACTATCAAGCACTTAGAATAGTCGAGCGTGCTGTCCTACCGACAGCTCTTGTTAATTGATACAGTTGTACTATACAGATTTTGATAACAATGACTTTATCACTTTCATTTATACCAAGATTTTTATTTTCATTACATGAAGATACATTTTGTCATTTTCTAGATGGGACTCGGCCAAGTAGTGCAGTTTGCTGATGGATTTAGGCAGAACACTACACACAAGCTTTCTTCAGCAAATGAAATAGCCATAGTCAAAGCACTTCAGGTTTGGTTCACAGAATTTATTTTACTTCAACTGTGCTTAACTAAACTATAATTATGCTTATGGACACACTTTCCTATCTGTTCCTGGAATCAACCAGTACTGAGCAATGAGTGTAAATTTTCTTGCTCAAGGTAACAATGACTTGCTCCTGATGGGGTTTGAACCCATGCGACTAGTGATCTCTTCAGGTTTGTCGAGTAATTTAAGCTGATAATAGACCTGAACGAGGGTATAACATTTTGCAACTTAACATCTGTAATGTCATTTTGGTAGAATGTCTGTCCTTTGGTTTTGTGTCTGCTGCATATATTTTGAACTGATTGAATAATCAGTATTTATGGTTCTTGGGCAAATTGTTTATCTATTGGAGAAATCATGTAAACATGTAAAATGCAATCCAAGTGCCCCACTTGAAGATCAAGGTCACTGTTAAGGTTAAAGGCATGAGTCAGCAAATTCTTCCATCTATTTTGTATTATATCTACTTTGTATGATTTCTTGAACTATTTTCATGATACTTGAGTCAATTGTTGATGTTTTTGAGACAACATGTAGAGTACACATTTCTGGCACCTTACTTCATTCATCTTTAACATTGAAAAGTAATAGATGTGAACCATCAATTATTTTTTGTCCACTGTATAGACATTATAATAGGGCTGAAAGCTTTACTAAAAAAAATAAGCAGAACCAGTTCTCTAGACCACCAAGTTCATGGTCAAGGTCACAGTTTAAGATAAAAAGAATGAGATGGCTTTTTGTGCATGGTTTGTGTATTTTGAATTGCTTAAGGATCTTTTACTCATTTTAATTTGTTCACATGTTTTTTCTATTGAAACAGTGTGCAGAAGTGGAAACAGTGTGCAGAAGTGATATTTCAGGCATACATAAGTTGCATAATACATGTATCATATAATAAAATGTTTCAGGGAATTGTACGGGTGTTTACTTTTGGAACTTTTCCATCATCATAATAGTACATGTAAGTTGGTTTCCTCAAATAAATCTGCATTTAGGCGTATATACATGTATTAACCTTGCTCTGGTTGTGGGTAGATGAAATAATGCTGCTGCTTGGCTGTCTTGTATCCATATTAGAGCTGTCATCGATAGAGATAATATTGATGTATGATATCATTGATATTTTTCTGCTGATCAATAATCTATGAACATTTAAAAAAATCTATGATTTTGATTTATTATTTAAATGTCTACATTAAATTATAAAAATTTCACCCAAAAGCAGGTGGCCAAATGGACATTAATTTTATAAACAGTGCTTTGCACTCAATCAATGACAGCTCTAATTCATATATTTTTGAATTTCGAGAAGATCAGAACTCCGATATTGAACATGATTAATTTTATACTTTACAGATTTGTGCTGACCGAGCTGGGATACCCGTGACAGGATTTGAAAATGTGAAGAGGTGGGGTCTGTTAGATGGGGGTTTTCTCAAACTTGTCGAATCTGCTGAAAAAGGAACAGACCTTTTTACACCTAAAACAGGTAAGATAATACAGGGAATAAAAAGTTTTTTACAGAGCCACTTATCCTGCAGGACAAGTAGCTTCAAATTTCTACTTGTCCTACATGCAGTGTCAATACGAGCAGCCGAGGTGTATTTTCTATCCCTGATGTGTTTTTATATGTAAAATATCGCCTAAGTATCTTTTTGTGTGAATAATCTTGCATTATTTTATTGTATAATTTTTTTGTTTTGTTATTTTAATAGATCTGATGCATTCTAGCAATAATATTATTTATAAAATATTTGCAATTATATTGATAAAATAGTACTTAGATCTAGTAGCAATAATATTTGAAAAATATTCTGTCCTATTCTTTAAGATGTTATTTCTTTAAAATATTTGTATATGATACAGGATCAGAGTTTCCCTCTTACATTTTAATTGAAATTGAAAAATTGCGAAGGGAGGTTTGTGTACCTGACAGTGACAATGATGAAGAGGAAGTTGAAAGTTTTGAGCCTGATGTTTACAAAGATGGTACTTTTTTCATCCCTACTGCATAGATTCATTTTACATTATTTCAGTAAAAGATAAACTAAGGATGTGTGTCAGGAATTGAGTCAGTGTATCAGTCTTAGTACTATCTGATCATTACTCAACCATGATCTTACATAATTGGTGTCTGTTTGAAGTATGGAACTTGCAATGGGATTTTAATCTAAAGATACTAGTGTGATAAACATATATTTAATAATGCTTCTAAGGTATTGTATTTCATCAGTGTTTAAAACTGGCTGTATACAGTAAACTCCACTTATAACGAACTCATTGGGACATTCAAAATCTGTTCCTTATATCCGGAGTTCCTTGTAACTAAGCATATAGCGAATTAGTTCCTTGTATAAGGATTTTTAATGGCGAACATATTTACATTTAACGAACTGATTGTTTACCATTATCCGCCATTTTGAAGAGCATTTGTTATTTTTAGCTCACCTGTCACAAAGTGACAGGGTGAGCTTTTGTGATCGCTTTTCGTCCGGCGTCCGTCTGTCGTCCGTAAACTTTTACTTAAATTGACATCTCCTCATAAACCGCTGAGCCAATTTCATCCAAACAGGAATGTTCCTTTGGTGGTCACCTTTAAAAATTGTTCAAAGAATAAATTCCATGCAGAACTCTGGTTGCCATGGCAACCGATAGAAAAAACTTAAAATATCTTCTTTTAAAAAACCCAAAGAGGTAGAGCTTAGATATTTGGCATGAAACATCTTCTAGTGAGTGTCTATCAAGTGTGTTCAAATAAAAGCCCTGGGGTCAAAATTGGCCCCGCCCTGGGGGTCATTGTTTTTCCCTATATGCATATAGTTAAAACTTAAAATATCTTCTTTTAAAAAACCAAAAGAGCTAGAGCTGAGATATTTAGCATGAAACATGTTTTAATGAGTGTCTACCAAGTTTGTTCAAATAAAAGCCCTGGGGTCAAAATTGGCCCGGCCCCAGGGGGTCATTGATTTTCCCTATATGCATATAGTAAAAACTTATAAAATCTTCTTTTAAAGAACCCAATAAACTAGAGCTAAGATATTAAGCATGAAACATCTTCTTATGAGTGTCTATCAAGTTTGTTCAAATAAAAGCCCTGGGGTCAAAATTGGCCCCGCCCCAGAGGGTCATTGATTTTCCCTATATGCATATAGTAAAAACTTATAAAATCTTCTTTTAAAGAACCCAAAGAGCTAAGATATTTAGCATGAAACATCTTCTAATGGGTGTCTACCAAATTTGTTCAAATAATAGCCCTGGGGTCAAAATTGGCCCTGCCCCGGGGGTCATTGATGTTATTTATGTGTATAGCAAAAAATTAAAAAATCTTCTTTGAAAAAACCCAAATAGCTACAGTTAAGATATTAAGCATGAAACATCTTCCAGTTAGTGTCTTCAAAGTTTGTTCAAATAAAAGCCCTAGGGTCAAAATTGGCCCTGCCCTGGGGGACATTGATTTTCCTTTATATGTGTATAGCAAAAACTTAAAAATCTTCTTTGAAAAAGAACCCAAATAGCTAGAGTTTAGATATTAAGCATGAAACATCTTCTAGTGAGTGTCTTCAAAGTTTGTGAAAAAAAAAGCCCTGGGGGCAAAACTGGCCTTGCCCTAGGGGTGTCATTGCTTTGAACTATATGTGTATAGTAAAAACTTAAAAAATCATTTTTTAAAAAACTCAACGAGCTAGACCTTAGATGTTTAGCATGAAACATCTTGTAATGGGTGTCTACCAAGTTTGTTCAAATAAAAGCCCTGGGGTTTAAACTGGCCCCACTCTGGGGGCCTATATACAGGTGAGCGACTTCAGGGCCATCATGGCCCTCTTGTTTCTTTTTAGACACAATACCCGAGAGCGTACTTTTTGAAAATTCTTTGCTATTTCAGTTTTAGTTTTACTTCCTTTTTCAATACATAAAAAATCGTATTTTGTTTCTTAACTCAGTGTTTTTTGTTTTTTTTCCATGATTAAGAATAAACCAGATTTTAAATATTTCCTTCCTTTTATATTGAATATCTTCTATTATATTTTAAGGGTGACTTTTACTAATGAAAGATATAGATTTCTTTTCATTTCAATCAAGCGTTCTTTGTAGTTTTCAATGGATTATGCTTGCCAGCATGCGTGATTATGTTGAAAACCAATAATAATTTATTATAATTATTTTACTAGAGCAAAACTATTGAAGAAAAGAAATACATGTAATAGAATAAAAGGAATAACCGTTTTATCTTGGTGGCAAGAACTCATTCTAAAAAAATTTTTTTTGATAGGGCAACTATTAACATAACCCGCTATACAAAATTCATTTTTCCCTTTGATGGGTTTTTAAGTAATACAACATAAACGGGACATTCCCCACCCGGGTTTTTAAACCCCTTGGGCCCAAAGAAAAACCAAAATTGGAAAAAAGGGAAAACATTAAAAGGATAGCCCAATTTTGGGGTTCATTTTAAAATGTTATTTTCTGTTTCTGTTAACTAAATTGGGACTAAGAAAATTTTTCCCCTTAAAAAAGCGATTATTCCTTTTAACCGGGTTCCTAATTTTTCCGTATTTTTTTTATATTAAATAAAAAGGCCAAAAATTTGGGCCAAAAAAATTTTTTCCCCTTTTTAAACCGGGAAATTTCTATTTAAACCCCTGTTCGCTATAAATGAAATTTTCTGTATCTCTCACCTTTCATATTTCTCAATGTTTTAATCTCACAATTTGGGCCCCCCTCCTCTATATCAGTTTCTTTAAATCACTCACTGTATATCACTAGTCTGACTGTGTATCATTGTATATCTTCCACTTTATGCCTCTCTTTATCATTTCCTCTATATCACTCACGATATATCTGTCACTGTATATTACTCACTGTATATCATTTACCATATACATCTTCATCTGTATCCCTTACACTTTATTTCTCACTGTATATCACTCACTGTTTATCTTTCAATGTTTGTCTTTTCCTGTATATCCCTCACTGTATATCTCTTACTGTTTATACCTCACTGTATATCCTTCACTGTATATCTCTCACTGTATAACCCTCACTGTATATCTTTACTGTATGTCCTTCAATGTTTATCCCTCACTGTATATCTTGACTGTATATCCCTCACTGTTTATCTCTCACTGTTTATCCCTCACTGTATATCTCTCACTGTTTATCCCTCACTGTATATCTCTTACTGTATATCTCTTACTGTTTATCCCTCACTGTATATCCCTCACTGTATATCTCTCACTGTTTATCCCTAACTGTATATCTTATCACTGTTTATCTCTCACTGTTCATCCTTCTCTGTATATCTCTCACTGTTTATCCCTCACTGTTTATCTCTCACTGTTTATCCCTCACTGTATATCTCTCACTGTTTATCCCTCACTGTATATCCCTCACTGTATATCTCTTACTGTATATCACTTACAATATATCACTTACTGTTTATCTTTCAAAGTATATCACTTATTGCATGTCTTTCACTGTATATCACTCAGTGTTCATCTCCCACTGTTTATCACTCTTTTAGGAATACATTGAATATAGGCTTCATTTTATACCTTAGATTCAAAACCATAGACACCTTTGATAAATAAATAACATGAATGAAAACTTTCTGATCTCAAAATAAATAAATAAAATATGTAAAAGATATAATATTTAGTGCCGTTGAATTTTAAAACTCCAATCAAGATAATGCTTTTGTATCTGGATCTTAATCTTGATCTTAAAAAAATGCCTTTTTTTTTCTATATTTCAGGCTGATTTTATTTGTCACAGAACCACGTTTGTGCTAAGGTATTTGGGAAGAAAAATTGTTTATCACCATCCAAAATTTTCCGAGGGTAACGTGTGCAATAGTTGTAAGGTAAAATTCTTTGAATATTGGTTTCTTTGACCACTTAATTCTTCCAAAAGAGCATGTTTTTAATGAAAAGGAGGATTCTTTAATAAAGGCAAAACCCAGTAGTTAAAATCTAGGGCTTCCTATGGCTGAGTTTGGTTTTAAGGTTTCTGACTTCAAATAATTCCCCTCACCACTTAGTTCAAAATTCCGTTCAGTGGACCATTAGATTTCATAAATGTGAGGGGAACTATCCACCAGCTTAAAGGAACATTGTGGTTCAAGCTCAGGAAATCTTTCGTGCCTGAAATAATACACAGAACTGAGAAGGGCACTCAAGGTTTTCATCCACCAGTAAAACTGAAAAGTCACCATATGTATTTAACTTTCATGATAGTATTTGACAGTTGTATTATTGTAAGCCCTTAATTCACATTTCTGTGAGGGTTGTGGTGAGGATTTTACTGTCAAGCATTTTCTTCTTGAATGTCATGATTTTTCACGGGCCCGTGATGGATTTTATTCTGTAAATTCACTCAAGGAGCTCTTTGGTGCGGTTCCATCAAAAAACATAATTGGTTATTTGAAAGAGATAAACTTGTATTCTAGGATCTAATTGGCTCATTTCTATTGTCATTTACAAAGTTTTACATAACATTTTAAGCCTATTTTAGCAGTCGGCACGATATGGCCAGTTATGTGTTGACATGCCGTAAAAATTCAAGCAAATAAACAAAACTTTACATTCTCACAGACAGGAGTCATACTCTTTTTATGGGAATTCTTTTTTTTCTCTCTTCTTTTCTTGAAGATTCCTTACTTTAGCCATGTTCAATAGGTGGCATTTAGTTCTTTTTTTGTCACTTAAATTTTAGAAAAATCATTTTAACATTTACTCTGCTGGAATTGAAAGTGATTAACCTTTATAACCAGAATAGATCGAGGTCAGGCTGAACACCCATGCAGTCTGACCAGGCTCAGCACTGTTTGATGACTTAATTTCAAATTTTCATTCTGATTTCCCCAAAACTGAAAATGGGCATTTCCAAAACTTTAAATTTAGCAAGTCAATTCTAGAAATTTAGCAGATAATTAAGGGTAAATTTTAATACTTTAATACTAACAGGGCAAGCTGTTGGAGGGCCTTTATGTGATTGATACAGATGGTTTTTATGTAAGTACATGTAAATGTAAAATAATTTTGTTTTGTTAAAAGATTTAACAACCAATAAATTGCTTTAGATTGATTCAAAGGGGACTGCTATAAGGGCCAGTAACAGTATAAATGTGCACAAGTAAACATGACAAGAGTTGTCTCCCAATGTTTGCTTAAATACTATAAAATTGCCTGGAATGTGTTTGAGAGGGTTGTTCTAAATTTTGTCTTTATTGCTTTATCAGTGATTGCTTCTTTCTCTTGTTTGATACTGTAATGTTTTTCAAAAATATCAACCTTTACTTAATGAAAAAAATCTGCCCAGATACATTTATATGATTTTAATAGGTTTGACAAGTTTATAATAATATTTAAAGTATAATATGTGTATACATGTACTTTGTTATTTAAAAAGAAATACCAATCTTGCCAGTGTTTGATATCCCTCAGGTAACTGAAAAGGAACAAGGGCATATGGTTGTCTTCTTTATCCAGTCAGAAGTTACCATATGACATTGAAACAGTGTCTTTGTTTCAAAAACACAACCATTTGACTACTTTTTTTTTCATAAGTTGTTATGATTTTCCTTGTTTTACACTGCATGTTTATATTACAGCTTTTCTGTTCCATTTGTGGAGGGTCAGGTCAGTTGTATGTCTGTGAAGAGAACGATTGTGGCAGGTAATTGATAATCTAAGTAAAACATTATGGATAAGGTACTGCCTAAAATTACAAAAGCTTTGCAGGTGTATTGATGTATTAATATACATTATTTGTCTTTATTGGTTAGTTTTCTAAACATAATTGATATAAATAGAAGCATTAATATAGAGGTTATAGAGTTGGAATTAAGGGTACTACTGATTACTATATTCTTCTTCATTTTAAGTGATTTAAGGTTATAGCTTTATAGAAAATTAGGTAGTGGCTTAAAGGTTTAGATCTATTACTTACAGCCTACATGACCATTACAGATGTAAATTTAAATCCTGAAAGTGACTTTGAATTCTTTCATGTAAAGAAGTTTACAAAAGGCCATTGGTTTTACTCTAATGCCCTCACTTACCTAAAATAAACCACATAGGTTTGCAGTGCAAATAAATCTGGAGAGTTGCAACATTGTCAATGCGAACGAAACACAAAATGATTGCTTGTCTGTTTGGTTCAAGGTCGCATCAGCACAGTATAGGTCATATGGCACTGAAACAGGAAAGATAATTTGAACTAACCTTGGGTGTACCGTGTTACAAACTTCAAAGTAACATCAGGTGTCAAAACTACCTCACCTGCTGGAGCTAAAAAATGCCTAGACTCCAATTATTCAAACCCATTTAGTCTCTTAATCACGCAGGGATAAACTGTGACTGCAATTCTTATGCCTCAACCATTAAAGGCAACCCCTCTGTCACACCGAGTCAAGAGAATCAGATAAACAATATTAATTATAAATAGCTTTAAAGACAGGAAACTAGATTTTAAAAAAAATGTATCACACAAGGTCAATTGTATTGCATTTACTAAGTTTATTTTAATTTTTCTAGAACTTTCTGTGTAAGATGTATGAGACGTTATCTGAGTACTGACGCCCAGAAACTGGTGAGTAAATTTATGTAAATGACTGAATATTCTCAAATTGTATTTAAGCCATTTCATGACAAAACTAACATAGTGCGTTTGCGACCAGCATGGATCCAGACCAGCCTGCGCATCCGCGCAGTCTGATCAGGATCCATGCTGTTTGCTATCAGTTTCACTACTTGTTATAGACTTTGTAAGTGAACAGCATGGATCCTGATCAGACTGCGCGGACTCACTGTATGGATCCATGCTGTTCACAAACCCATTATGTTGGTTTTGTCATGACACGGCTCATTTATTTTCTCCCAAGGTCACTTTCAATGTCCACTTCAAGAATGTAGATGTGTATGTTGGAGAAATAATGAACAAGTAAAGAATTTTCAGCTTTTTATTTTCTTGAAGTAATATATAGATAAACAATGTTATTTCGTAATGACTGTGGAATGACGTCATTCAAAGCATATTATGAGTCCTTTTACCATGGAAAATGTCATCTGACAGCACCATGGTAAGAACAAGAAAATCCAGTCTGATTATTACTGTTTTTTTTTTTTTTTAATTATTTGTATGAAAAAAGAGTGAAACATTAAAAAAGGTCCTAATGCATGAAATTTGCAAATTCTTGCATCAAATGTTCCTTTTCAGGTGATTTCTAAAGGTTACTGGCAATTTTGAAAAACTTTTAAAAAACCTACATTTCTTTTTAATGATCAGTTCTTTATTAGCTTTAGCTTTCCAATGATACTGATTTTAGAGAAATTGGAGTGCATTGTCTTTTTATGTACCAAAATTATCTACATAAGTAGATAATGAAGAGGTATACTCAGAAATAAAATGAAAATGGAATTTTGTGCAATTTTTAGTCTGATATGAATTAAAAGCATTTAAATGCTTTTCAATTTTGGTTGTTTTGTACGATAATAAATATTGTTCCTGGAAAATTGAAGTAAATAAATTATTGGGAATTTTTGCATACAAGTAAATGTTAGTCTTCATCAAATGGTACATCATTCTCGAAAAATATTTCCATTGCCTTCATTTAAAAAACCTTAATGGCGGCCTCTTAATGTATATATGTAAGCCAAATTACAGGATATAACCATTTTCTTGTCTTCTTTTCTGTCACTAAGTCATGCATGTGTTTTTAATACTTTGAAGGTACAAGAGAAATCCCCTTGGACATGTTTCCTGTGTAACCAGTATAGTATAGAGAGTCATGGTGCACTGGTACCCAGGGCCGATTGGGAAGATGAACTTGTCAAATTCTTCAACCCAGAATTTGATCAGGTTTAATATATAAGTTTCATATTTATTTTTACCATACTGTCTTTGGCTTGGTGATAATTTAGTGTGATACATTGATTATATTTGCCACATTTATTGAAGCAAAGCTGTTGTCATGATCCACATATTTTAGCGTGGTTATCCTTCTTTCTTTAAGTTTTTGTTTATGGTCATTATCAACAGCACTAAAGTACACATTTAGGTCAAAAGGTCAAGAAATCTGGCCATTAAATTAAAATGTATTCACCTAGAAACTTCAAATGTGTGTGGCAGATGAAACATATCGAGATGCATCAACATTGTAAGTTTCGATGTAACTGCTTTTGTTAGCTGAAGTCAGATAGTGAAACATGCTTTACTAGGCCTGAGAGATGTATGCTGTTGTTAAAATTATTTGTTTATAAATTGATAAGCCCATTGTATTGTGAATATACATTTTATTTCAAATTGGTTAATGCATAGATTGTTATGAATGTTTTATTCAGGTAACTGTGTCTCCAGTATTTGAGAGTCAGTCTACTAGGAAGTTGAGAGTTCTTTCCCTTTTTGATGGCATGGGATATGTGAAGGTGGCACTGGATCAGTTGCACTTGGACATAGAGAAGTACTTTGCTGTTGAGAGTGATGTAACTGGTAAACAAATCAGCAACAAACAGTTTAAATCTGATATCGTTGAACTTGGAGATTTTAATACTATAACAAGGGAAAAGGTTAGTATGACATGTTTAAGAAACAAATTGTGATGCAATGAGTTTATACAAAATTTATTTTAGTTTGATTGTGTTGGAAGTGTAACACTCAAATCCAACCCAGGAACCAACCAGACCTAGTGGTGAGTATTAAGTTCCTTGCTCATGGAAGAAATGGCATGCTGCTCATAACGGGGTTGGAACCTCAATGACCAGCAATCCTACGAGCAATTCCTAAGATTGCATGTCTGATATTAACCCAGTGTTGGTACAGTCTTAAAAAGTGCTTAAAAATGATAAAAAGTGCTTAAAAATGATAAAAAGTGCTTAAAAGTCCTTGAATTTGATAACTGTCTTGAAAAGTGCTTAAAAAGTGCTTAATTCACTACAAATGTGCTTGAAAATGATTGAATGACAGACTTGTGTCGGTAAAAAACAACAGTTACCAAACAAAAACCAAAAAAATCTTGTTCAATACCAAAATCAATGAATTTTGTAATGTTTGCTCAATGTAACAGGCACATATTGAAGTTGATTTGAACTTCACTTCAACCCCTTTATAATGCTCATATTGTGTTCCAAGGTGTGAAGACAGCATTTAGCCCGATTCTGATACGTAACGCTCATCGTGAGATCACCGCATTACCCCACCCCCTGCAATTATGTATAATGCTAATGATTTTTACTTACCATTCAATGAATATTGACATTATTTTTTGTAAAACAATTTGATAATGTAGATATATATCATAATTTTTATCATGTTATATAATTTATATTTACAATGTAAAAGAAACGGAAACCTACGAAAGAAAAACATAAATCACAAATGGAAGCAGTTCGCCATTACAATTGTAGTGAAAGCTTCCAGCATTAGTTGTGCCCCTTAGTTAATCAAACACCATCTCTATCAGTAAAAAGTGTAGGCTTTATGATTGATTTTGGGCTTGTGTGATTAACTTAATTCAGCAGTGTTTGCATGTCACAGTTAAGGTATGAAATTGAGACTTTTTTGTAACAATATGATTCCTGACTGATTGACAGGTAAAACAACAAAAGAGCAGATTAACGATTATCTGTGCTCTTTTCACAATTTTTCTGCTTATAAGCACAGGTATAAATATACATGAAAAAAATAATCATCAAAAATACTATTCTGTTTTTTTGGGGGTAGCATGATATATTGAAGATAGGGTTTTAACAGAGGGCCATAAAACAGGGTGGCAGTTAACACTGCGAAAAAGACATGGATATACGGAAGTGTACGGAATACTATATATCGTTAATATACGTGTAAGAATACGGGAAACTTGAAATACGGAGATGTACGGGACCGTATATTATATCAGTCCGTATATGACTAGTATACGAACTCCGTACACTCGTAATATACGGGAAATTTGATGTACGAAGTCCGTATTTTACTAATATACGGAATTTTTATGACAAGTCCGTATATTACTAAAATACGAAATTCCGTATTCGTGCAAATACGGATTCTGTATATAGAAATAGCGAATGATACCGTCAGTGCGACATCCACCTGTAGCATGCAGACGCGGTATTCTAGCTCAATACCGCTGTGTTTGCTTTTTAGCATACATCCGCAGATAAATAGCGAATACTTTACCATTGCGATTGATTACTATTAGATAGTCCTTTTTTGTATTTTGCATCTATGGTGAATCATGTTATTTTGTAATTTCTTTTTCATTATCATTATGATATTCTATAATGATGAGCCAAACATGAGAAAATGATAAAGTTGAAATTGTGATGTTTAAAACATGAATTAATTATATTAAAATCGTGAAACTGTGAAGTTGAAATCGTGAAAGTTAAAATAATTGTGAAATCACGAAGATGAAATCGGGATTGTCCACACACACATTTAAATTTTACGTTTATATATGTCCTACAAAAAATAGGCTATACATAATATAATACATGTACTTGCATATGTAAAAAAAATCAACAATGATATCTCATTCATTCATTCATTCATTCATTCATTCATTCATTCATTCATTGAATCAATCAACCAATCATTCATTCATTTATTCATACATTCATTCATTCATCACTCATTTATTCTTATATTTATTTATTATTTTTTTATTTATTTATTTATTTATTTATTTATTTATTTATTTATTTATTTATTTATTTATTTATTTAATCTTTTATTTCAGGAAACATAAAGATTTGCGTTTTTGTACACAAGTTTTGAATAGAAATCTTATGAAGTTCCGACTTCCCCAATTTTGATTCTTTTCGCGCGGTCTCATTTATGACATAATATTGTGTAATAGCCACGTGCTGTATTGCGATAATCGAAGCCAATACTGATTAAGCCGGATATTGATCCGGATATTGATCATAAACGCAGCAGGGTATAACGAGTTTCGGTTTTTCTCCGATTACGTAAGTTAGCGCAATTGGTGTTGAATGTCTTAACGGTAATTTTTACTGTTAATTTCTAATATAATTCATGTACGAAATAAAGGAATTAAATTGTGATCTCATAACCGAGTCTCTATATTTTGTCTCATTCGTATACATACATTTCTATGTGATTTTGTTCCAGATATTATAAAGACTATAACCTGACATATTAAAATGAAACAGACATAGCTGCTGTATTCTTTCAAATGTTTTTGCAGCGTCGTGTTGTTGTTATCCTTTTATCTGGCGGAATTCGTAATTTAAACAAGACACAATTAAGTTATTACTATACGTCAACATTCTTTGGCAGTGTGTTAATCATATCAGTCAAAATTGTTGTACTGAAGAGTTTTGTGTTCTTAAGAGAAATAACGTTGAGTGTAATCACGGATTTATATTACATTAGTAATATAAATCCGTGGTGTAATGTACTTGGTAAGAGACTTGTAATATTATGTGTACCTACATGAAAAATTTGGCAGGTAGTTTCTTTATCAATCAAATCGATCATCTCCAAACATTTGATGATTGTTATTATAATGTATATATGTTGATGTCATACACTTTTGGTTATTTTGTATGTTTTGTGTCCTCATCGGCTTTAAAGCCTATTTGAATGAAATGTAATAATCTACTGCATAATAGAAACTGGGACATAATGTGAATTAAGTCCCAAACAGAACAGTTATTCCATTAGAGCAGATAATGAATAAAAAGTTATTTTTTAATATAAATACTGAGCTTTCAACACACATACATTTATTTAATTACAGTTGTCAAACTAAAATATATGATAAATTTTACTATTAATTATCAATCCTTTATTTAAGAAATTTAATATTTTAGAATTTTGACAATTCGACTAAAAAGGAAAAGAAATATAAAAAGTACATTCTCTTGATAAGTTATTTTTTTTAAATATTATTTTCATGCTTTACCCGCTTATTGTTGTTATAACAAAAATTTGTGTAATTTATGAATATTCTTAGCGCTTCTAAAACGTCTTTTATTATTATCATAAATATTATTATTATTTTATTATTTATTATTATTATTATTATTAATTATTCATTATCATCATCATCATCATCATCATCATCATCATCATCATCATCATCAATCATTATTATTATTTTAAAACACACATACATTTATTTAATTATAGTTGTCTAACTAAAATAATATAAATGATAATTATTTTTATTATTATTATATTTTATTATTATTATTATTATTATTATTATTATTATAAAAAATAAATAACCGATTAAGCATTAGAATCAATGTTTTGCCTATGAAAAAGTATCAATGGTTATGTCATACATGTATGCAAAGTTATCGTTTATGGATACATGATATTTCCTATTTAATATTGCATTATTTTGACTTAGCGCATTATCACGGACCTTAAAATAAATCCGTGGCATTAATGCTAAATGCTTAATTACACAAACGGTATCTAGACATATCACGCGTTTTCAAAACAGCCAATGAGTTTGAAGCGTTGGTTTTGTATGACGTGAATCCTATCAACCAATCAGAAATAGCGCGGGCGAAATGAAAAAAGAAAAACGCGATTGGAAATGGATGGTTAATAAAATTCAGAATATTGCAAAACAAGGTAGGTTAAAAGTTATTTTTTATCGTTGTAATATCAATATGCGATCAATAGAATTGTTGCATTTTGTGAACAACAGCTTATTTCAGGGTTAAACTGATTTGTTTTTAGAAAACTTTAACACTTTTTTAATCTGTTTCGCTATCCAATATGGCCGCCGGATTAGATAATTAAAGCAGGGATATATCCCTAAATTTAGACTGGGAGGTTACGAGTTTGATTTTGATTTCTAAACTGTATCTTGTGGTTTGAAAAATGCAAAAACAACAAAATGAAAAGGGCATTTCTTAAATACGTTAATAATAACTTCCCTTTTGGGTAAGAAAGAGACGTTAAAATTTACGACATTTAAACATCGAAGATGTCAAGGTATTACAGCCCCTGGACATGGTAGTACAAAAGGATTAATCAGTGTGTGTGACACGACCTATGTATGCTTGATTGGTCAACTGATTGGACTTTATAATCTCAATTATCACTTAAAATCAGGGGTGCGAGTCAATGTGCAATCAATTTAATAAATATAATAACAAAAATTATGAGATTTAACAGATTAACATATTTTAAAAGAAAATTGTTTAGTACTTCTAAAAAATATGTTTATAAATTTTAGATAAAATCGTCTTTCTCAGTCTTGATAATTCAACGAGCAGAATACTTGTTTTATATTCGCAGTTTTTATTTTTTTTATACAAATCCCTATTATTTGATGCAAATATAAGTCACTTTAAAGACTCCGCTCTTTTCATTTTTATTCACTTTTTTTTAAGTTTCTGTACACATTTTTCTATATATTTCTTATTTATATTAACTATAATTATATAAATGAATACAAATCTGAAACAAAAATAGCAAACAAATATTTATTTTTTCATTTAAATCATTATACATTTAGATGAATAAAAAATGACAATATTTGTCAGAATTTTTTTATTTACATTAATACAAAGAATGACAGATAAATATCTGCATGATTGCATGTTATATGACCGACAGGTGTTACGTTTAAAAGTTACGTGTTAATTCACCTTTTACCCTTGGTGTCATGAGATATGCTTATTTTTACATTGATACGAAGCTTAGTGTCGGTGTAAGAATTTTAAAACTCGTGAATATAAAATATAGCGACGAACCATAAGTTTTAAAACGGTTTTGTTTGTATTGTTTTAGCATATATATAATAATTAGCAAGATCGAGTTTACTCGCAATTCAGGACGGACAACTCTTTTTTGTTCATTCGATTTTTCTTGGTTATTTATCTACGTTGTTCAGGATAACCCAGATTTTAAATTGTATATACATGAACTGAGTTTTCAACATTTACATTGGATTTTTTATTGGACAAGTTAAAATTTAAATATTTTTTTCTTATTATAATTAAAACACTTTGTTTAGTTTTTAAGATAAACATTACGCATAAGGTGATATCGCATGGGTCAGTCACAAACACGCGCCTGTTTGAGGAAACAGTTATTTAATATTTGTTATACATAAATTTAAACGCTTGAAAAACTGTATAGAGCCTTTGTACATTAGAAAATTTTTCGACATTCCATATTTTGACTTATATTTCACATAAAGCGATATGGTAACACACGCACGCACGCACGAACACACAAACATACATAACTACACATGCACATAAAAGTGAACACGTTCCTACAGTATTAACACTTTCGCACATGTGATCACTTATGAAATATTTTCAATGTGCTCTTTATCAGTTTATGCTGAAGTTATATTATCATTTTTCAGGACAGTGTACAGCGTGTTTAAATCTTCCAGAAATGCAGCTGTGCCCTCTTTACAGCAATTATAGATGAAGCAAAGTATGGTAGCAAGTAATATAGATGTAAGTTCACGTATATACATTGTTGTATTTTGTGAATAAAATAAGACAATTACACGGACGTACTGTCTGTAAAGAAGAGTTACCCAGACTCATATATTCCCATCCGTACTGACATCATGTGTTTTATTCTTTCTCAAGGCAAAGTCAAATTTCCTTAATTACACGCATTTATTTTGACATGAATGAATGTGGTTAGTTATAAATACATTGGTTCTCTTTTATATCTTGTTGGCGGAATGATGTCACACTTCATAAAATGATGTCAATTAAGGCATATAAGCATTTTGCAGCGCATTTGAAAATGCTAAACATCCTTGCTTTTTAATATGAAAAAATCAAATATATAAAATAGAAGAAACAACTCGAACACACACAATTGTTTGATATAGATGCACTGTGCATGCGACTTTATTTTATTAAATTAGTTTTCTTTTCTTAAACATATTACTGTATCAAAAAATATAACTTTTATATAATTGAGCCGTGTCATGACAAAACCAACATAATGGGTTTGCGACCAGCATGGATCCAGACCAGCCTGCGCATCCGCGCAGTCTGATCAGGATCCATGCTGTTCGCTATCAGTTGCTTTACTTGTTATAGGGTCTGTATGCGAACAGCATGGATCCTGATCAGACTGCGCGGATGCGCAGGCTGGTCTGGATCCATGCTGGTCGCAAACCCATTATGTTGGTTTTGTCGTGACACGGCTCATATGTTAATGATAGTAATTTTTTTTAAGTTACTACGTGCATAAGCGATAAGTAGGCCGCTTTGATAATGTGAGAGTGACTCTACATTTTCTTTTGTGCATGTACACTAAAGTTAACAACCTTTGTCTGAATAGGTAAAACAGGGTTTTCACAAGCGAATATTATGTAAGATAAGAAACAGAATTTGAAATGTCTTGATGGAAAAGTTAGTAAAGTCATTCGAATGTCATACACATTAAATTTTATCACGAGTTCGAGCCTCACAAGTTGTCTCACTTTTTTGCGTTTTTCTTTCCATATTTTTTTTTAATTTTACATTAAAAAAATGAATTGGGATAGAAAGGTAGTTTTGTTATGATATTTAATAATTTAGACATACATGCACGGATGATAGTGATTTTTATCCTGTATAGTGTGTAGTATGTAGTAGTCATAGTACTTTTGCAGTGCAGGAGTATTTCGTGCAAACTTAACTATAGTTGAAACAGTCTGTGTACAGTATCATGCATTCCGTATAAGTTTGCACCAACTTGCTAAATAGGGCTAAATGTAGCTACATTTAAAACAAAATGAGAAGTTAATAGAAAATAGCACAGCATTTATAATCTTTACAATAGATGATACAAAACTTTCTTACTTGATTGATAATTATAAAGCAATATTTTTGGGGAAAAGGCGAATCCGAGCCTAGCTGTCTTGCATTGATATTTACCACAACCTTACCTACTGCATTACGCTGAGAGTTGGTAAATTTGTTGATAATTTGTTTTATATAGCTAGCCTGTTTGAAGATAATAAACACAATATGATAGCTGTTTTACACCTGGATAGTGGACTTGACCACCTCGTCACTTAATTATTATACTAAACGCACAGTACTTGTGCGCACGTGAAACATATGGCGTTGATACGTAAATGTTTCACGTGCGCACGTAATACTGTCGCATTCGCATGTAGTAACTAAAATATTTCCTATGTTATTTTATGCAATTGTCACATATGATACATATATTTCATTATCTGAATTTGATTTCATACTATTAGATTAATGCTATAGGCAAGTGAGAATATTTTGATTTATAATTTTTGTGAGAATTATCACTTTATTTTTAGTGATGGCACACTGTAGGAGATTCTATTGTCAACTTACCTAGTTAAACAGTCTTAACAGTAAAAAAATATTAATCTACACTAGTGTCCATTGAAGGTATTCATTCGTTGCTGTGAAGTTGTGATGGAATAGTTTTTGAAAGAATTGAAACTGAAACAAACAATAATTCAAATTTGTTAAGATTTACGTTTTTATATAAATGAGAAGTATAGCTGGGTATTCTGCCTTTTACTTAACTGGATATCATTGTGCAAACACGGATCTACATCTGAGTAGCAAATATCTGTACATTTTAAACCTTTTTTTTCCCAAACGAATTGACTCCTACTAACGATGCTAATATACATCGTAAAACGATCAAAAAGATTATGTCAGCACTTTTCCCAATGCAATGTTATTTTGTTTAAATATATTTTAAATCAATAAAATACTCTTTACATAGAACAAAGATACCATTATAATTTATATTACAAGTGTGAAATATATATATTCGTAAAAGTTTCATAACAAAAACATATAACTTATCATCCGTCATAGATTAATTATTTCATTTAAATCCTGTGTAAATGATTGCTTATAAATGACATCTTTATCCTAATAATATAAAATAATTTTGAAATTTGAGTAAGAAAAAAAATTGTATATATGTATACGCTTAAAAAAATGCTTGTGTATAGTCTTTTTGAAAGTTGTGATAACTATTTCATGACATTATTTAAACAGGATTTTAAACTCTCTTTTTTCAGATACACACATGCCGAAGAAGATTGTAATATCTGGAGAAAACATTTCCTACGTCACGAAATAGACACCGTCACACTGGTCTACGTATCATTCCTATAGATGATTGATATATTTAACTGCTTTTAAGAACAGTGTTTGAATGACGAATTTCTGTGAATACGGATTTTTAATTTTAATGATTATTATTAAAACTTTCTGTAATTATCAATTTGTGCTATGGACTCATTTTCCTAAAATAATATGTGAATGTTAACACGAACAAATGATATGAATATCTTTAAAATGTTTTATGGGTGTAATATAAGTGGCTCATATGAATCATTGTTAAGATAAATCGAAAAGAACTTCAAGTTAGCATAGTTTGTTCCAGATTTAAACAACATGCAATTCATAAATGTTACGGCTTGAAAATATCGAAATGTACATGTATAATTCGATCTCTGAAGAAAATATCGCGGTGCAGATGTTCTGCACTGTGATACGTATTTCATGACTCTGTATCGCAACATACCGGTATATCGCCTTTCCGTTGCAACGCTACATTAATGTGTCCCTCTGGAATAAGGTTACAACAATATATGACTATTGTAGCGAAGACATGTTTATTTTGTTATATATATGTATACATATTGAATATATGTTTATGAAATAATAAATATTTAAGAGTGACTCGATTTGGTTTTTACTTTATTATTTGAAATACTCCAATTTTGAAGATAAAGTTCTTAAGCATATGACTACAATTCCCATTCACAATGTGTAATCAAACATGTTCTATTGTACAAGCCTGCATTTCGGTCATGTAAATGCATGCTTTTGATGGTATCTGTACCTTCTTTTATCTCGAAAATACAGTTCTGTATACCCTGTGTACAACTAAAAAATGCAATTCCGTATATCCCCTGTATATATAGAAAATACGATTCCGTATATCTTCTGTATATGTAGAAAATACGATTCCGTATATCATCTGTATATGTGGAAAATACGATTCCGTATATCATCTGTATATGTGGAAAATACGAGTCCGTATATCATCTGTATATGTAGAATATACGGTTCCGTATATCCTTTGTATACGTAGAAAATACGAGTCCGTATATCCTCTGTATACGTAGAAAATACGGTCCCGTATATCCTTGGTATATTTAAAGTATACTAGGGATAACAACCTTGATAAAGTCCGTATACGGGATTTTATTCTCCGTATACCCCAAACATACGAACAAATATACGTACATGTATATGGTGCAAATACGGAATTCCGTATATGCCTGATGCATATACGGACTTCCCGTATACCCGGTGTTCCCTATACGGACTCGTATACTTGGTCCGTATATTCGACAAATACATCCCGTACACGCACGTATATGTCAAAAATACGGGACCGTATATTCCCGTATATCAGTATATTTTTCGCAGTGTAAGTTTGTATTTGTTGCCATCTTTGTTGTTATTCTATAGAAACTGTAAAAGTGTGCTGTAGCCAGAAAATGTGTTTTCAACAAAAAATGACTTCTAAATTAATATTGGTTAAACATTGTGTAGGATATAGACGCAACATATTGTGCTTTAAAAATGGAAATATGTTTAAAAAGTGCTTAAAAAGTCCTTGAATTTTGATACTGGATGTCTGTACGAACCCTGTAACCATGTATGGCACATGGGATGGCATTAGATTGATGTTTGTTATGCTTAAGCCTGACTTTTCAAAGAGAAGAGTAATAGGGACTATATAGCCTTTTGTGAACTATTGGCAAATTGCTGGTTAAAATTTAACATACAAGATCTACATGTATATCTATAACTGCAAAAGGAAATTTCACACATGCATTTAGGATTATTGTTGTTATTCACTTTCGAAGACCCATAACTCTTGTATGACTTTCAAATGAAATATTCCTCTTTGTTAACTGTCTAGGCTCTTGTGTTACTATCAAGCACTGAAAATAGTTAAGTGGGCTTTCTTTTGAATATCTTAGGTTTGTTCCAATTCCATGCTTGGCCTTTTTTTAAAAAAATAACTTGATTGGATATTAATAACACATCTTAATGTAAAAATGTTAATTTACTTCTAGAGGTATGCAGTACTGTTAATTTACTTCCAAAAGTATACAGTACTGTTATAGACAATATGATTTGATACAGTACTTGCCTATTTGTTTCAGCTTAAGGAGATATGCCCAATAGATCTGGTTGTAGCAAGACCTCCTACAGAAGATCTTGATATTACAAATAGGGACCATGAAGGCTTTAGTAAGTCACAGTTTGAAATTATGTAACCGTAATGACAACATGATAGCATGGAGTCATGAAATCAGACATATTTTTTTCAAGTAATATGACATCATATCACCAACCTTTTAAGATGGGGTAATGAATGGTTTTGTCCAGAATGAAAGATGGACAAGTTCATTTAACTTGTTTAATTTGGTAAGGGTTAAATTTATTATTTGCATTTCAGCAACTAGAAGTTGAATTTCATCAATCTTGTTGAATGGTAGGTTCTACGCAAGTATATGGCAGATCATTTACAATTAACATATCCATATTCAATAACTCTATACTATATGAATTGTTGAACAACACTTTTACTTAACAGATAGCTTCTTTCATGTGAGGGAGCTATCCAGCTAACTTGTGGAAGGTTCGGTTCGTACTGCAGGTGCCGTTTGTGCCTGAAAGATAATGGCGCCGAAAGGGCCACCTGAGGTTTCTCCACCAGTAAAGCTGGAAACGTCGCCTAATTTGCTATATAGTGTACAGGGTGACATAAAACCCAATCAAACAAACAAACAAACAGATAGCTGATAGCCTAGTAAAGTATTAACAATGGCTTTAAATGCATGCTGTTGCAGGTTTTTTTCAGACCCGATATTGTTGTGCAGATGATTTTAGAAAATGATTGAATCCATGATTGATTTCCTTCTACTGTTTGCGGTTGTAGAATCAATGAATCCATGATTGATTTCCTTCTACTGTTTGCAGTTGTAGAATCAATTGTCGTCATTAGACTAAGGGTTAAAGCAGCATGCTTCAGGATTTATGAATTTTGAATATTTTTTTATTAACAAGTGAACGAAGGAAGTAATTTACTAACAATTTACTTTCATTCCACGTAAATTGCCTATTTTGTTAGTCACACAGATGAAATATGGTGATGCAAAATAATTTATTCATTGCATATATCATGTGAATCATTACTTGAATTGTGAATATTTTTACTTTTCCTAAAATTTTAGTACATTTTAGCATTTTATTCGGAGTTGATTTTCTCGATTTTTTTTATTGCTCATTTGGAGGCATGCTTTTGATATGATAGAATTATTCTTACAATAGATGGATCAGGGTGGATGATGTTCAAAGTGTTGGATATGTTAAAGACTATCCAGCTGATCTGTAAGGGTACCAACACTGTATACTGGCTGGTCGAGACGACGGCAACAATGATGTCTGAGTACAAAACAGTACTGTCCAATTTATTTGAGGTTTGTATAAAACTACCCTCTTATTTTCATAGTTAAGATTTGCATCCAAAACCTATAACCACTGAAGGTATACACTTGAAACCTCACAGTTAAATGATGGGTGTATTTCACTAATTAAGAACTGTAACTGTAGCATGGTCTTTGAATAAAAAGCCCTGGAAAGATTGAACATGGTGTCCTGACTGGCAGCTGTTGTTAGCGTTGATGGTTTTAAGCACCAATTTTATCACATACATATATTGTTTTCTGATATTTTTAAGGATAAATATGATTGTTATTTTACTTGTTTTACTCTTTTTATACTCCTTTTTTTTACAGAGGGAACCATGTATGTGGGATGCACAGTTTTTCTCACCAATCATCCTGCCGAAGTATTACTGGGGAAATATTCCCGCCCTGTACAGGTTTGTTTATTTTATTAAACTCTGGCTTAAGTGACACAAATTGTTTTATTTTGTTGGCCAATTGTGCAAACCCAGGATATATTATGATGAATGTTGGGCGGCGGGGGTTCGACAGACGGACGGGTAAAAATTTTTCGTAAACGTTTTCTCAATAACTACTTATCACAACCTCTTGATATTTGGTATACAGCATTAAAATGTGGTCCCATATCGTGGGATTTAATTTCAGGTCTGTCGCTCAACCATTTCCTGTTAACAGACTTAGTTAAATTTTCCACATTAATGGTCAATGGTAGGAAATTTTCGTAACAGTTTTCTCAGCAACTAGTAATCGCAGTCTCTTAATATTTGGTATACAGCATTAACATGTGGTCCCATACTATGTGATTCAATTTCCTGTCTGTCACTCATCTAAGGTAGGTTAACCGACTTAGTTATATTTTCGACTTTATTGGTCAATGGTAGGAAATTTTCGTAACAGTTTTCTCAGCAACTAGTTATGGCAGCTTCTTAATATTTGGTATACAGCATTTACATGTGGTCCCATATTATGGGATGCAATTTCATGTCTGTCACTCATCTAATTCCTGTTTACCTTACCGACTTAGTTACATTTTCGACTTTAGTAAGTTTATTTCAAATTTGCATTCAGGCCACCGGCCCATACACATGTATACATAAAATATATATATATATATATATATATATATATATAAACACAATAGCATAATGACATGGCAGCTAGTTAGGATAATATAACATCGCATAATATACAGATTTACATAGAGTTGTATAAAGTACAATGACATGTTGTCAGAGCAGCATTTTAGCCAATTTTCACAAAACATATAATTATGTAATAAGATTTAGCAACTGACATAAAGACGTTTAAGATAAAGATTCATCTCGCAGTTTAAATGCATAATATAAAAACATTGATAAGTTTCGTATTGTCTTAACACTTTTGCATGACATTAATAAGTTAAATTTATGATTATTTGGATGTTCCCAATACTTATTTGGTATAAATTGTTGACGTAGATTATCATATAAAGGACATTTTAACAGAAAATGAAATTCGCATTCAATTTCATATCGACAGTGTATACAAAAATGGATTTCCCTTGGAATACCAATATGTCTTCCTTTCTCTATCCTCAATTGATGAGAAGATGACCTAAAAGCAGCAAGACTACTCCTAAATTTCAATATATCTATACAGTCCAGATATTTTTCAAAATTAATATTACATTTAAAATTTCTATAGAATACTAGCTTTCTGTTTTCTAAACACTCACTGTTCCAATTTTGCATGTATTGATCTTTTAATCTATTTACATAAAGGGTAAGGAATAAGTTTGCATTTTCAACCTTTTGTTGTTCCCAAATATAGCCAAAACCATTCTTATAGAGATTTAATCGTAGAGTTGTCACCCAATTTTTATAACCTAGTTCATCTAATCTTTTTGTTGCATATATATACATTGGGTATCTTCCACAATCTCCCATTACAACTGCATTACACGACTTTAAAGAAATATTCATAAATCTCTTACATGCATATATATAGTGGTCAATGGTAGAAAATTTTTGTAAAATTTTTCTCTGACAGCAACAGCCTCTTGATATTTGGTATACAGCATTAACATATGGTCCCATATTGTGGGATTCAAAGGTTTTGTAACATCACAGGGTTATGATATTTGGTTTATAAATGCAACCAGTGGCCATTTCTGCCTTTGATACATTTTTTTCTCTGCATTTTCCTGTTTGGATGATTTAATTGCAAAATGTCTTATTTTAATAAGCTTGTCAACCATGGCCTTTTTTCTGTTAATCAAGATTGATTGCTCTAAATGAAGTTGATCATAGGAAATACTGGTTCATTAATTTGACACTTTCACTGAAGAAGTTACAATGTGGAAAATTTTGAGCTAGGGGGCATGAGGGGTTTTGCACTTTCCTCATGTACAACCCCAGTCAAACTGAGTCTGCAATTTTCATGTAATTTTGTTATGATAAATGCTAATCCGAGGGATCATTTTTCCCAGACCCCAATTGTTTTAATTCTAATTTTCTGGATTGTATGTGTCACATGACTGTTTTTATGCAAATTTTGAATTAGTTTTATGTAAATTAAGTTAAGTCTTATCTTCTGTTTGATATCAGTCACTTTATAATACTGCATGCTTGTAAATCTGCTTTTCATCGATAATAACGATATTTATATAAACTATATACACGGCTGCTGTCAGTTTATGAAATAAATTCATTTTTCTCTAACCAAGGAAGTTGTACTATAAAGTCTTTATGAATATTTTTGACAAGTTTGGCAGAATATAAATGGTTGTTTGAAATATATGCAAAAATATATGCAAACAGCCATTTATATAGGTCTATACAACCTGTTAAAATATTTTATAACTAATAAGAATTGTAATATTTAAAATTGACAGGGCTACCAATTGCCAAAATTCAACACCATTCCTCCTTTAAAATTTGATTAGAAACTTGTTATTTCCTTTCCAGTTCATTCCAGTTTTACAAAGCCAACAAGGGACAAGTTCCAAACCTAGATTCGTACATTATGACACATGTGCACAGATCTGCTGAGGTAATAGCACAATACAGGCCTTTGTTGATAAGCTAGTACATAGAAGTTGACCGCCTCCGTGGTCGGGGGTTAGAGTCGATGACTTCTAATCCAATTACCTCTCTGGCATGGGTTTGATCCTCGGGAGATGCTTTGGTAGTTTAGCACGGAGGAAGGTAGTCTAGTACTGGTGTAACTCTCCAGGAACGATGGTTAGGAAACTACCTGCCTATATGACTGAAATACTGTTGGGAAAAGGCATAAAATGAAACAAACAAACAAAGAAGTTGTTTTTTAAAATGAATGGTGTTTGTTTTTGTCTATGTTATGTCATTAGCTCGACTATTCGCAGAATAATCGAGCTAATGCAGTCACCCATTTGTCGGCGTCGGCGTCCCTGTGGTTAAGTTTTTGTATGTAAGCTGGTATCTCTATAACTACTGAAGGGAATGGATTGAAACTTCACACACTTGTTCTCTGTGATTATCTAAGATGATTGGCACAAGTCCCATAACTCTGATTTACTTTTTTTCATAATTATGCCCCTTTTTCGACTTAGAAATTCTTGGTTAAGTTTTTGTATGTAAGCTGGTATCTCCTTAACTACTGAAGGGAATGGATTGAAACTTCACACACTTGTTCTCTGTGATTATCTAAGATGATTGGCACAAGTCCCATAACTCTGATTTGCTTTTTTTCATAATTATGCCCCTTTTTTCGACTTAGAAATTCTTGGTTAAGTTTTTGCGTGTAAGCTGGTATCTCCATAACTACTGAAGGGAATGGATTGAAACTTCACACACTTGTTCTCTGTGATTATCTAAGATGATTGACACAAGTCCCATAACTCTAATTTGCTTTTTAACATAATTATGCCCCTTTTTCAACTTAGAAATTCTTGGTTAAGTTTTTGCGTGTAAGCTGGTATCTCCATTACTACTAGAGGGAATGGATTGAAACTTCACACACTTGGTCTCTGTGATTATCTAGGATGATTGGTACGAGTCCCATTACTCTGATTTGCTTTTTTGCATAATTATGCCCCTTTTTCGACTCATGAATTCTTGGTTAAGTTTTTGCATGTAAGCTTGTATCTCCATAACTACTGAAGGGAATGTATTGAAACTTGAAGAGTTTGTACCTTTTCGGACAATTTTATGTAGTCATATAGGTAAGCATTATTATACTCAATGAAACACCCTTGTGACAAATTTTCGAATAGTCGAGCGTTACTGTCCTCCGACAGTTCTTGTTTTGTTAAATCATCGGGCTGTGTAACCAGAGGCTGGTTGATTCACTGTTGATGAGTCTTGCCATTCTGTTGTTGTTGAAATTCAAATGCTGAATTAAAACTACAATAGATGACAAAAAGTAAGCCGTTTGTTCAAATCATTTCTATAGTATTATTACATGAGAATAAGGTCAGGGTCGTTCAAGTTGAAGATTTGGTACAAATAAGGTCAAGGTTATAGAAGTCTATGTTAAAAATCAGTTGATATGAAATGTGAGTGCAGGTATTTTGAAAATACTCCAGTTGTAACTGCAATATATATGGGACTTTTACTTTTATTTGATACTTATAAAAGTAACTTAAGTATATGTTTATAAGAAAAGATCATATCTGTTGTCAAGGTCAAGTGGTTATAACCTCTAACCTCTAATCACTTGTTGTAAAATTGATTGTTTCAATTATCCTCTTAGCTGTCAGAAAGTCCCTGGTTTTTAACAAGATGACTTTCTTTGTTCATGGCAGAGGAATTTAAATCTGAAATGCAATATTTTTCAGGTGAAAAGGTTACGTGGTTGGGCAATAGTTACTTATATTGAAAGAGTCAAAGAAGACCAAAATGATCCTGATGAAGGAGTGTTTAGTGATTCACCTGATGACCGATCTGAATCCTTTGAAAGGATACTAGATTTGAACTTTGTTGGTAGCAACGAGGAGGAGGCCCATCCCGGAGGCAGGCAGGAGGAGGTCTTTGTTGGTAGTAGTCTGGTGGATGACCTTGGTGGCAGTGACCTAGAGGAGGAGACCCATGCCGGAGGCAGCCAGGAGGAGGTCTCTTTTGATAGCAGTCTGGTGGATGACTTTGGTAGCAGTGACCTAGAGGAGGAGGAGGAGGAAGAAATCATTATACCACCCTCTGTACCAAAGATGAACATTGATGACAGCACAGTGTTTACTTTACCTGTGAAAATGAATGGAAAGGATGTAGAGATTTGGCCAACAGAAGTTGAAAAGTAACTTGCATTTTAAGCTAGACTTTTTCAAAGAAAAATTTTGAGCTATTGCTACAGTCAGGTTGTCGTTCCCACTGCCATACAGAAACATTAATGCTGGCCTTTTTTATTAGCTCACCTGTCACAAAGTGACATGGTGAGTGTTTGTGATCGCTTTTCGCCCGTCGTCTGTCCGTTGTCCGTCCGTAAACTTTTACTTTAAACAACATCCCCTCATAAACTACTAAGCCAATTTCATGCATACTTCTCAGGAATGTTCCTTTGGTAGTCACCTTTAAAAACTGTTCAAAGAATTTAAATCCGAGCAGAACCCTGGTTGCCATGGCAACCGAAGGTAAAACCTTAAATTATCTTCTTTTAGAAAACCAAAAGAGCTAGAGCTTAAATATATGATATGAAACATCATCTAGTCAGTTTCTACTAAGTTTGTACAAATAAATGCCCTGGGGTCAAAATTGGCCCCGCCCTGGGGAGTCATTGATTTTCCTTATTTGTATAAAGTAAAAACTTAAAAATTCTTCTTTTAAAAAAAACCAAATAGCTAGAGATTAGATATGAAACATCTTCTAGTGGGTGTCTACCAAGTTTATTCAAATAAAAGCCCTGGGGTAAAAAATTGGCCCGCTCCAGGGGGTCATTGATTTTCCTTATTTGTATAAAGTAAAAACTAAAAAAAAATTCTTCTTTTAAAAAATCCCAAATAGCTAGAGCTTATATATGAAACATCTTCTAGTGGGTGTCTACCAAGTTTATTCAAATAAAAGCCCGGGGGTAAAAATTGGCCCTGCTCCAGGGGGTCATTGATTTTCCTTATTTGTATACAGTCGGCATCGTACTTGCGTCCACCTTTATTAAGCGACTTTTTTATTAAGCGTCCGCATAAAATCCCTCCCGATGATTTTTACTATTTAATTCAATTCCATTTAACGACTATTCTATATCGCAGCCAGCGGCCACTGAATGTCGGCCCAAATGTACAAAATTATGTGTTAAAGTATCTATTAAACGGCCGTGACAAACAATCGTCCCTGCGGGCATTCTCACCTGTGTAATTAGCGGGTAGGTTAGATGTGTACAAGCAAACAAATATTTTTCATGGTCATTGGTCACAAATAAGTGTCGTTTAAAAACGAAATGAAAAACAATTGCAATCGTTTCAAAATCGGATTTTCCGATCGTAATATTTATTGTTACATATTTTGTCAGAGCAATAACGTATCACAACACCGCATTTGCATAGTTTTGTCATGTGCTCAGAGTGACCTCCCTTATCGAAAATGACGTCGGATTGAGCGTAAAAAAAAACAGACAACTAATAAGACCGGATAAATTGTATGAGGAAATCGTGCATGGAATTGAGTCTGAGTAAATAGCAAATGTCATATATTGTAGTCGAAATAAAATCGTGAAACGTAGTGGACTAAACATTACAGAACGGAGCCTTTCATTGCTGATGGTGTAGGTGCTCATCTGATGCTTTATAAAATACATAAAGTACCCCATTAAATATGACCCTTCGACAAAAAAATCCTAGATCTCTAAAAATCTTATTGAATTCGAAATCGGGGTAGTGTGAAAACTAATTGTTGAAAAAATCAAGAAGTTTAAAACTCATTGCATAAAAAATTATCTGGAGCTGAGACTGGCTGATGATTCTAAAGTATGTTCAGCAGGAGATGTGTATGAACATATTAAAATATAAGACAATATGCTTTGTTTCATGGTCAAAATAACCTGTTGACAGTATCATGAGCGAAGATCACATTTGTACACAAATTTCTACTCAAAAACAAAAACAAACAATATTGATGACTTTTTTTTTTTTAAAAAAAAGGCATAAGTAATTATAAAACTGTAATACATACATAATATTGTATAGTTTTTGTTCGTATAAAAAAGATGTTATTATATCTATGACTTGTAATAAAAAGTCTCGAATTTTCCAGAATTCTATTGAGAGACCACTTTATTAAGAGACCACTTTTTGGCAGACCCTTGAGTGGTCTCTTAATACAATGTCGACTGTATAGTCAAAACTTAAAAAATCTTCTTTTAAAAAAACTAAAAGAGCTAGAGCTTAGATATTGAGTATGTAACATCTTCTAGTTGGTGTGTACCAAGTTTGTTCAAATAAGGGCCCTTGGGTTAAAATTGGCCCCGTCCCGGAGGTCATTGATTTTCCTTATATGTGTAAAGTAAAAACTTTAAAAGTGATCTTTTAAAAAACCAAAATAGCTAGAGCTTAGATATTAAGCATGAAACATCTTCTAGTGGGTTTCTACCAAGTTTTTTCATATAAAAGCCTTGGGGTAAAAATTGGCCCCGCTCCTGGGGGTCATTGTTTATCCCTTTATGCATATAGTAAAAACTTGAAAAAATCTTCTTTTAAAAACCCCAAAGAGCTAGAGCTTAGATACTTATCATGAAACATCTTCTAATGGGTGTCTACCAAGTTTGTTCAAATAAAAGCCATTGGTTTAAAATTGGCCTTGGCCAGGGGCCTTTATACAGGTGAGCAATTTCAGGGCCATCATGGCCCTCTTGTTTCTTAAATACTTGTCTTTAAAACTGCTAACAACAACTTTTGGACAAGACCTTCAAGAAGAGCAGACTGAATTGACCTTGACTTATTTATGACCTTGACCTTGAAGGTCAAATTAATGAATTTATTGTCATAACTTTGTGATTTATTTATGGATTTAATTCATTCTTGGACAAAAGAACACATTATTATGACAAAACAGACATAATAATTGATTCAAATGTGTCATTGACTGTCAAGGTCCAATATGAAATTAGCTATTTATTTTTTTACCAAAAAATTATGTTTTGTAGGAGAAAACAATATTTTACCTCTGATGTATTTGACATTAGAAATTAAAAAAATGTCGAGCGTAGTCCCTTTACAAGAGTGATTACAGAATTAAAATATATTGTTGTGTCACCTCTACCGAGTTGTGGCAACATAGGGATCACTTCTCTGTTTGTCCGTCTGTCTGTCCGGCTGTCACAAAACTTGTCCGGACTACTCCTCATAAACTACTGGTGCAATTTCATTCAAACTTTACAGGAATTATCAGTACCAAGTCTAGTTGTGCATATCGTCAGCATTTTCCAGTTCAATGCTTATGAGTTATGGCCCTTTAATAATTTTTATTTTTAAAGTTTGTCCGGACTACTTCTCTTATACAACTTATGCAATTTTAATGATTAATTTGTAGCTGAAGTCCTTACGCATATTGCAAGGGCTTTACGGTTGAATGATTTTTGGTAGAGTTTAGGCCTTTTAATAAAAAAGGTGGTTTTTCTGTGTTGCCAGATACACAAAAGCTTTTTTCGGACTACTTCTCAAAAAATACTGGTGCAATTTCATCCAAACTTTACAGGAATGTTTAGTACCAAGTTTAGTTGTTCATATCAACGGCTTTTTATGGTTCAATGAATTTTGTCAGAGTAATGGCCCTTAATTTATTTCATTTTTAAAGTTTGTCCGGACTACTCCTCATATACAACTAATGCAATTTCAATGAAACTTTACAGGATTGATTGGTAGGTCAAGCACTTGTGCATATTACACGGGTTTTCCGCTTGAATGATTTATAGCCTAGTTATGGCCCTTGAAATAATAAAATTTGTCCGCACTACTCCTCATATACCATTAGTGCAATTTTAATGAAACTTTACAGGATTAATTGGTAGGTCAAGCACTTTTGCATATTACACGGGTTTTCCGCTTGAATGATTTATAGCCTAGTTATGGCCCTTGAAATAATAAAATTTGTCCGCACTACTCCTCATATACCATTAGTGCAATTTCAATGAAACTTTACAGGATTGATTGGTAGGTCAAGCACTTGTGCATATTACACGGGTTTTCCGCTTGAATGATTTATAGCCTAGTTATGGCCCTTGAAATAATAAAATTTGTCCGCACTACTCCTCATATACAATTAGTGCAATTTCAATGAAACTTTACAGGATTAATTGGTAGGTCAAGTAAAAAACACATGTTTTTTGCTTGAATGATTTTTGACTGAGTTATTGCCCTTGAATAAAAAAAGGTGTTTTTGCCAGCTACACAGAAGTTTGTCTGAACTACTCCTCAGAAACTGCTGGTGCAATTTCATCAAAATTTTAACGGAATAATCATTACCATGTCTAGTTGTAATATTCAATCTTCACAAAGCTGCCCTTTGAGTATAAAGAACTGGCTTGTGGACCTTTTACAGAAGTATATAGATGGGCAATTTATGGCCATAGCTTCATATTCGACATGTCTTTTGTTTATTTATAGTCCTTTTGTCTCATTTACTTGTTTTATTTTCAGACTTCTCGGATTACCAATCCACTACACAGATACTGGCATAAGTTTTCGCAAGAGGCAAAAAGAACTGATGAAAGCATCAAGTATTGATGTGCTAAAACATGTCCTCACTCCTCTCAAAGAAACATTCTCTCAGCATTCTTAAAAAAAAGCAAGATAGTGACATAAAGCTGAGTGCAAATCTCTAATGGATATATTGTTGATTGCAATAACTTCTGTAAAACTAATTGATCATTTCCTTTTTTTATAGTTACCAGATTAAGAAACAAGTAATTAAAAAGGACAAGTCTTTGTTTGTGGATATTTGTTTAAAGATTTCACCTTATAAAAATTGTGATATTTTTATGCCCCCCCTTTCGAAGAAGAGGGGGTATATTGTTTTGCTAATGTCGGTCGGTCTGTCTGTCTATTGGTCTTTCCATCGGTAGACCACATGATTTCCCTTGATTATCTTGAAAACAATTTATCTCAAAGTCCTCATATTTTACAAAGTGATTGGGTCACTAGGTCAAAGGTCAAGGTTACAGGGGCCTTAAATGGTAAAATGATTTACGCTTATTATCTTGGTTACTATTAATCACATGCAGTCTTCATATTTCACATATTGATTGGTCATAACCTGTAGATGACCCCTATTGATTATGGGGTCACTAGGTTAAAGGTCAAGGTCACAGGGGCCTTAAATGTTGGAATGGTTTTCGTTGATTATCTTGAAAAGCATTCATCACAAAGTCTTCATATTTCACATATTGATTGGGATTTTAGATCACCAGGTCAAAAGTCAATGTTACAGGGTCTTCGAATGGTAGTATGATTGCCTTTGGGGTTACTGATTCAAAGGTCAAGGTCACAATAGCCATAAATGTTAGAATGGTTTCCGCTTATTATCTTGAAAACTATCACAAAGTCTTCATATTTCACATACTGATTGGTAATAACTAGTAACTATTGATTTTAGGGTCACTAGGTCAAAGTCACAGGGTTCTTGAATGTTAGTATGGTTTCCGCTCATCTTGAAAGCTATTTATCACAAAGTCTTCATATTTTTAATATTGATTGGTCATAACTATTAGATGACCCCTATTGATTTTGGGTCACTTGTTCAACGGTCTAGGTCACAGGGGCCTTAAATGTCTCATTATCTTCAAAACTATTTATCATAAAGTCTTCATTATTTTTCTTTTTTCCATAATTGAACACTTCCATGTACCCATTTATGGCAAGTTTCTATAACAAAATTACATATAATGTGAGTCAAGAGCTAGAAAGGGGGGGCATATGTGTCGTTCGACATTTCTTGTTTTACACTTGTCTTTAATATTTTGATAGCAGTTTTATTCAGTCAGTTGCAGTGTGTTATTTTTAAGTACTTTCTCTATGTCCCTCTCACATACTGGAATCAGCTTGTCTGTCTTGCCATTGGGGCTTTGCTTGTCCTTAAGTGTATCACAAAACTTTATGCAGGTATAAAATTGAGACTTCATAGGTGGATCGTATTAAGTAAGGAAAAGTTAAGTGTTGAAGAACCATATTTTTTTAATTATTTTAGAGTTACAGTGCCATTCATAATACATTGCTGACAAAGCAGTGTGCAGGGAAATAATAGTTCCAGATTGTTCACATTATTAATTAATGTTAAGGAATTAAGTTATGTTCATGCTTTATAATGTTGTGACTAGAAATTATGTTTTTGTTTATTTTCTTTTGCGAAGTTTTGTTCAGACTTTAAGTATTTATGAAATGTTAATATAATTTTAGCTCACCTATCACAAAGCGACATGGTGAGCTTTTGTGATTACTTTTCGTCCGGCCGTCCAGAAATCTGTTGTTCACTTTTACTTTAAACGACATCTTCTGGTAATTCACAAAGCCAATTTCATCCAAACTTCATGGGAATGTTCCTTTGGTGGTCACCTTTCAAATTGTTCAAAGAATTTAATTCCATGCAAAACTCTTGTTGCCATGGCAACCAAAAGAAAAAACTAAAAAAATCTTCTTTAAGAAAACCCAAAGAGCTAGAGCTTAGATATTTAGCAGGAAACATCTTCTAATGGGTGTCTACCAAGTTTGTTCAAATAAAATCCCTGGGTTAAAATTGGCCCTGGGGGTTACTGTTTTCCTATATGTATATAGTAAAAACTTTAGAAATCTTCTTAAAAAAACCCCAAAGAGCTAGAGCTTAGATATTCAGCATGAAACATCTTCTAATTGGTGTCTACCAAGTTTGTTCAAATAAAAGCTGTGGAGACAAAATTGGCCCCGCCCCAGGGGGTCATTCTTTTTCCAAATATGTGAATAGGAAAAACTTAGAAAGTCTTCTTTTAAAAAACCCAATGAGCTAGAGCTTAGATATTCAGCATGAAACATCTTCTAATGGGTGTCTACCATGTTTGCCCTGTCGGGGGTGGGGAGGGGGTTATTGATTTTCCTATATATATTTATAAAAACAAGAAAAAGGTTTAAAGGTTTTTTTTAAAAACCCCAAAGAGCTAGAGCTTAAATGTTTGGCATGAAATATCTTCTATTGAGTATCTACCAATTTGTTAAAAAAAAGCCTTGGGGTCAAAATTGGCCCGGAGCAATTGATTTTCATTATATGCTTATAGTAATAACAAAAAAATCTTTTTTTCAAAAACCCAAATCAATAAATATTCTGACTCAGGTGAGCGATTCAGGGCCATCATAGCCCTCTTGTTTATATGTAGTGCCATTTACATTTTTATATAAAATCAGCAGAAGCTAAATGCTTACACATTGAACACAATGATACAGTTTTACTTTTTATTGTTTTTACAGTTAATACTCGTACATTTGTTATTTTTTGAAGATTTTAATGAATAAATTTTAAGAATTACTTTTTCTTTGTCAAGCTTTATGAAAGTCCAGTAAAATTGAAGCTCCTTCAAGTACAATGAAAACATACACTGGATATACCATGACAAAATGATATTCGTCTCCTTCATCTCTATTGCTGCAAAATATACAATATCGCTAATTTCTTTATTTCTAGCGTAACGACCTGTTTCAATGATTAACTTGTGCGATGATAGTATAAGCTTAGACTAAACGCTTCTAAAATTAAATTGCAATAAAGAATTTTCAAACCCTAAAGAGGTTTTAAAATGTTTGAATATATCCAATGTTTTGCATCCCTGTAAGCGTTGGTCCCAGTTTTGTTTGAATGTTACTGACGTCATTTTGAATTGACGCGTACAAGGCACAAGGCGAGCCTATTGCTATAGCGAAACACAGGTGGCAGTATCAGTGTTTGGACACCCCACCCCTATCTGCCCCTGGACCACTACTACAACCCTGAAAAAATTTCCACACTCTACGGCTTACTATAAGTTACCAAATACAAAACCACCGATAGAATTATTTAAAAAAATCCACCATCAAAATAATAGATAACTATAATTTTGATAGTGGATTTTTTTTTCTCATTTTATCGGTGGTTTCGTATTTGGTACCTTATAGTAAGCCGTAGAGTGTGGAATTTTTTTCAGGGTTGTAGTAGTGGTCCAGGGGCAGATAGGGGTGGGGTGTCCAAACACTGATACTGCCACCTGTGTAGCGAAACAGAGAAAAATGTTCTCAATGTAGAAATATAAAATTATGCATACCTTTAAATAACGTACATTTAATACAGTTTAAAGAACAGCAAACCAGTTATTTTGCGCATTTTTCAGTCCTTTAAATGTAACAAAGTAAATCACAGATATATTTAGCTCCATGAGTAAATTCAGCAAATTACATTAAAGGGACTCCGCCGAAATTTTTTTTACATGAAAGTACTGAACATATTTTAAGATCGTTTCAAGTCCATACCAATAACTTCAGTACAGAAATTCAGGTCAATCGCTCATTTCGTCTTTAAAATAATAATTTTTATTGTGTTAAGTGACCTAAGAATGAGTAGCGTTTAAACGCTTTTAACTCAAATTAGGGTAAGAATCGCTCTAGATATGGATTTTCATTCGTTTGTCCGTCCGTCCGTTCCTTCCTTCAAAAATAAAATTTAAAAAAAGAAAGAAAGAAAGAAAAGGTTGTCCCTTCTGGGGTTTGAACCCATGTCCCAGGGCTTCAATGTAGTTGACAGTGATTCTAGCCTATTTCAATACTCTTCAATGTGGAAATTAAGCCAATATTAAAATAAATATTTCACAATTTGCGGGAGCCACAAGTGAAATAAATGTATGATAATTTTCCTATCACAAGATGAAAATAAATGCAGTTTTAATAGAACAAAAACTTGATTTTGCTGTTTATTATCTACTTTTTCTCTTTTTTCCCTAATGAATAGGAAGTATTCCCTTTTAATTTTTTGTATTGGCTGAATTTAGAAGACAGTAGTCCGGCATGACACCAGTGAAAATACTGAAAATATGTTTTACTGCAGTGAAAAATAAATGTAAGCAGTGTAAATACAGAAAAAGAAAATACGCATTTTATTTCATCATTATTTCTCAATTTTTTATTTATAAATATAAAATGAAGCTATATTTTGTTGCCAAAAGTAAAAAAAAATGTTTGAACTTAAGAAGATGCACAAAACAATTGCTAAACGGTTATAATCCTACTTAACCCCCCCCCCCCCCCGGGACATTGTGTAAAATAAGAGAGACGTTAGATCTCTTTAGAGAATTAACCATAATTAAGATTTCAGAAACAACATAACTTTACCGTTTATAAATTTTATAAAGAGAATTCATTAGGTAATTTGTTCACTTAATTTTTTTTCTCCTCACCTCATACTGTCATGACATATTTTATATGATCAAACTAAACAAATAAGGAACTGGGTAAAATTGCAATTAATAAAATAAACAGTAATATTATCTTTTCACAAATCCTGTTCACTTTGTCACACAAGCCGGAAAATACATAGGTGTAAAACTGCCCGTATAACAATTGTAATTAAAGGAGTTGTAAATACAGGAAAACGGAAATGTTTTTCACAGTATTTGTACAATTTTTATTGCCCAGACAAAATCTGCTCAAAGCTATATCGGAAGCTTAATAATTAGTTAATAATTACGAGAACAGAGTATAAGACACTGCCTGAAAGGTATATAATAAGAGTTTTCTGTAATTCAGGCATTACTTCTTCACCAGTTAATGAAACAACAGTTTAAATATATTACCAAAATTTACAAATTTTACTTGAACACAACGAAATATGGCTTTACGGTGAGTACATGTTTATATTTGAAATTTAAATATATAACAATTCGTTTTAATACAAGATTCATTTCTGTGCATTTTCTGTTATATATTGCACATTTTCTTCTTTCTAATTCAGCATTTTAGAACAATAGAAGAACAACAGTGTTTCTTTGTTGTTTTCTTTTTTATTGGTTTTACAAAAAAAATATAAATTTATCTCAAACAAAATATGCTTTTTAATTTATCATATGATTAAATTTGATCAATCAATTTACTTTCAGACTTCGTTTGTTCGAGAACGCTGGGGAATCTCCGATGCAGACAACTTCCGGTGACATTTGGGACGAGATCGAGGCTGTAATAACGCCGTATAGAAAGGATAAACTAGAAGATGATTCAGGAGCAGAGTTTTCGGTGATTAACAAAATAATTATCATTTCTAATGTCTTTTAATTACTTTTAATAAAGGGCCGGTTGTTCAAAACATTGGTTAATGATAACCAACAGATAAAATATCAAACATATGGAATCATATGGAACTATTTATACTTATATATAATTACGGCCCCTGCCACTGGCTTTAAAGCGGTTTTCAAATTTTCAACTAGACTAAGTATGCTAATATCTAACTGTCTTTGATTTATGCTTCAGAAATTTAATGAAAACATTAATTCATTGTTTTTTTTTATTTTACAGATAAAGATTCCTTCCCGTTTCACCAATACACACCAATCCGCTGACGCTAGAAGAAGCTTGTTTTCTGGTAAACGACTTGCAGACGATAATCATGAAGTAGAATCTTCTGCAACGAAGAAATCAAAGAAAGGAGACGTTTATTTGGTAAGTTGCGTCAATTAATTATTTAAATACAATGTAACGTAAAAAAACCCAAGAATTGTGTAGCTTTAGTTAAAACATTTTCTGAAAAAAGAAATTAAAATATAAAGACATAGACAAAAGGGTTGAAAAGTAAATACAAAATGATTTAAACATGTTTTAACACATCATTATTATCAATAAATGTATAAAACCTTCGAAAACCGGAATCCTCTGAAACCGGACTTGCTTTGACATGTTGTACATAAGATTACTTAATTAAAATCGTTTTTTAACATTCCAGGATTCCAACAACATCATCGAAGCTGTTGAGCGTTTAGAATCCCGTGAACTTGTCGCAGACGGGAGTCGTTGTTACACATTACCCACAATTCCCGGAAAACATGGTGACCTCAAATCCATCTCTTCGGAAACAATGGCGGACGTTGTGCAGGGGAAATATACCGATCAATTAGGGAACGTTACTGTTGTCGACTGTCGATATCCATACGAATTTGAGGGAGGTCATATCCGCGGGGCTGTGAACCTCTATACAAAAGACGCTGTAAACACATTGCTTCAAGAAACACCGACGTCGGAGAAGCCACGTGTACTGATCTTTCACTGTGAATTCTCGTCAGAGAGGGGTCCAAAAATGTAAGTTATTCGTCTTTGATTTTACTCTATAAAACTAAAAATTTGACATTGTTGCACTAAATCCTAAATTAATCCTAATTCTTTATTGAAGGAACTCTACTGAGGTCCAAAAACCTAAACATGAAATTTGAATTTCGATCATACCTAGATCAACCGGGACACTTAAAACAGAAAGATTTGCATAAGATAAATAAGAAATATACTCGGTAATAAATTGAAAATCGTATTTTGTGATATTTTGAGCCGGATTTGAGTGAAAAGGGTTGCAACGCTTTTCAATTTTGGTTTATTTTTCACAATTAGAATAACTATGCTGGAAAAATGGAGTGAACGAATGATCTGAAATTTTGGACACAATTTAATTTTTGTTCTACACCTACATCAAATGGAACAGAAATCTTGAAAAATTATTTCCTGTCCCGTCATGTCAAAAACCTCAGTGGAGTCCTTTTAAAAAGAATGTTGAATTCCATCAAAAAATTAATATGTATCATACTTTTCTGCAACTATATTGTATTCTATTTTTTTCATGCATTTCAGGTATCGCTTCTTGAGAAGTCAGGATCGTGAGTTGAACAAAGACAGGTACCCACTTCTGAACTACCCCGAAATATATTTACTCGACAGTGGATACAAGGCGTTCTTCTATAAATTTCAAGACTTGTGCGATCCAATCAGCTACAAACCAATGCTGCACGAGGACCATGCCTCCGATTTACGTCATTTCCGGGTCAAGTCTAAATCTTGGACGGCTGGAGAGAAACAGAAGACTAGCAGACGATCAAGAAGTAGACTTTCCTATGCAATAGACATTTAACTATCCAAATAAATATGACAAACCTAAGTGCTTTCATTTGTAATGTGCTACTGTTATTGTTTTACTTGTTAAGAATTTTGAAATAAATTAAAAGAAAATGTTTTGTTATATATGTTTTGTAATAAAAGCGTCAAATCCTTGGTAATTGAACGCTTGCCCCTTTATAAACCGACTTCAATCAAAATTTGGCTCTTTTGGAACAGAATTAATTCATTATTGACATTGGAACTTGCATAATTCTTGATTCCATCTTGCTTCATGACATTGGAACTTGCATTATGCTTGATTCCATCTTGCTAAATGACATTTGAACTTGCATTATGCTTGATTCCATCTTGATTTATGATATTTAAACTTTGCATTTAGCTGCATTCCATTTTCATCATTTCATTCAAACTTTCGTAGTGACTAAGGTCCGTATTCAGAATCGATACTTACACTCACACCCATTAAGTAAATCCCATATAATTGCATAACGGTCAAGGCAGTCCTAAACCTTTCAGTAAAGAGGTATTCAGATTATAAAGAAAGTGTCGAGTGAACTTATACACGGGGAGGAATCACGCCGTTCGTTATCCAAACAAACAAGATGGCGGATACAGCCAAAAAGTAGGTTTTTCCCTTTTTTCTCTGAAATTCGTGATGTTCTTGTGTAGAAGTACATATAACAACCTTCTCCACAATTTTCCTGGCACACAGAAATTTATTTCATGAGGTTTCGTCCCGTACTTCTTCTGAAATGCGCGTCACCAGATTCGAAGCGAGAGAATTTTCCACCGGTTTGATCGTGGTAACGTACGGCTTCTTCTCTTAAATTCACTGTTTCGTTTACATATATGTATATTAACTGAAATCACTGACATTAAAAAGTTGTAACATGTCGGCATCTAAGCATTCATGCCCATTCTGGCTAGAATAACCGCTGAAAATATTAAAATCGGGGCATTTTCCGGAAATGATAACGTATGGCGCACAAAATATCAGTGATAACGTACGGCGCATTTTTGTCTGCTTAATTGATTTTCTATATAAGAGAAAAGTTATGTTACCAGATACCAGACATAAGAGGATGTGTAGAACCAAATAAAGAAACTGAATATTATTTAGTGTTTGCATGATATCTGTCATGTGTTTTTGTATCGAATGGAAATATCCGATCCGATGGCTCTTTCGCAATGGGCTGTAACGATGCTTGCTAACTTACAGCCCTTGTGTAGGTGCCAGTGGGATGGATATTAAAATCCGATAGGTAATCACGAGTGCTATGTTTTCTTGCATATCATAGTCGAATATAGAGCAACTTTTCCACCTTTGGTGATCTAATTAAAGTTTCGTCAAAAGTGAAACTTGATCCCAAATTTCAAATATCTATGTTTATGTTAGTGCTCATCCGTACTGTTCTATAGAAATAATAGATTTTGACGGGAGCGATAGCGACAGAAGGATGTTAACAGCTACGGATGACTACTAACATACTAAGTGTCAAGCTTTTTTGGCACTTAATTACGTCACTATGCTGTTCTATGAATTATTATGAAAATGAGAAATCGACTGTGAACGGAATTCGATAAAGTATCGTCTTTTGTTCTTCAACGAAAATTAACGCACAGATTTTTTTAAGAAATACAGCGCTTTCATTTGGTGAGAAATAAATTTGGACACTACATAAACTTCTATTTTTCAAAGTGCTTCATATAGAACCGTGTTCGTAAAATAGGCAAGTATAGTGACGAAAGAAAGTAAATATTAATGAAGCCAAATAAAGCTTGACACTAAGTATGTTAGCATTCAGAACTGCCTCGGCTATTATCTATGCAATAACCTATTGAAAGAAGTTCTACCACGTGGTTTCAGATGTAAACAGAAACAGAGATAATGTAAAACGAATGTATATATTTGACATCTAATGTCTGTCCCGGTACTCTCATGCTTGAAAATATGTCTGACAACAATTTGTAATTTAAATATGCTCACTGATGTCAAATTTTAAACAAATCCGACTGAATGTCAACAGGTTGGTTTTTTGTACTTTCGGTTTCTACAACCATGATCGATAATAAATATATAAACAATGTATTGTTTGCTATTGTGCCTATGAGTTCACTTATTTTAGGTGGACTTTTACTACATATATTGGAAATAAACTTGTCAACAAATCCCAGCATAAAATTACTATTTTTTTACATGTTTAGTTTCTGAGCGTAGGTTATACCGAAATACCGCATCCGTTCTGTGTATTCATACTATTGTGTTCGAGGTCCTTATCCGAAGACTGACGGAAAGGGGCGAGTAGTTGCGATTGAGTATGTTAGTATTCATCGGAAATAAGAAACATTCTCCGGCCGCTATCGCTCCTGTCAAAGTTTCTAAATTCTGTAGAACAACACAGATGAACACTAACTGATTACTACGCTACTATGATAATAGTGTTAACGAAGTATATGTTACTAACATATACTTCGTAAACACTATTATCATAGTAGCGTAGTAATTTTTTCAGCTGTTCTTTCATTTATATGTATTGTCCAGGTCAAGCAAATATAACTGGCAAGACGAACTTGTTTGGTATGAGATAAAACACAACACTTAGGTTGAATGAAATAGGGCATTTATTAAATGCCATAAATGACAAATGTTACATAATATAGGGACAGACCAATGACATAAATTATTTTATGTGGGCATAAAATCTTATAAAGATAATGACGTCATCTGAGCGCATTCATGAGCGGTCTAGCTTTAATGATTTCAGACGGGTTCTCGGACAAGGATAAAACATCGAAATCCAAATCCGATTTGAAACTTTATCATGGTCGGTAAAATGTTTACCGCAAATTTCAATGACACTCTTTTATTGCCGATACCTGCAATACTATTTGTAAGAGATTGATTGTTTTTGTTGGGGCGTTTGCGAGATAAAAACGCCAAAATATGATAGGCAAATTTATGAATTTGATGTAATTGTTTTGATCAAATCATTTATAATAAAAACTTTCCGGATATGTCGTGCAAATATATCTGGACTTCATAGTGGCACAACGTCACGCTAAATTAGAAAACGTTTCGTTCAAATAAAACTGGAAATTCTTATTTAATAAATTTATTGAACTTTTTCGCAAAACATTATTTTCTAACTAATTCAATAAATTCAATATAGAACCTATACTCATTCATTATTCTCTTTTATGAATTTTCTTTTAATGAGCGACCAGATTGTATAAACACAGGCTCATTTCATCTGCGTGTAAGATAGTCGCAATCACTTTTCGTTTTGTTTATGTTTGACGTGGTTCAAATATTAAGATTTTCTTATCTGTAATTTGTTAAAGTAATTTTGGAAAAGAAAATATATCAAGTCTTCCGTACCATTTTAACATTTTTGCTCTGGTGAATGCATTTCTTCTTTCTGATAAGGGGATAAGTCAATAATTATCGCACAACACTGGCGAAATTTAAAGTGAAGACAACAATACACAAATGTTTCCTGAAAGTGAAGACTTTTTTTTCCATTCTGCATTTTATACAAAAATATTCTCAAACTATAAAAGTGTGTTTACAACGAATATCTATCATGCCACCAGCTAAAGATATTGATACCCGATGGTGCAGCATTGTTCAATAATTTATTTCTGAAATGACAAACTTTTTTTTTTAAATATCTATCATTTCCTACATACAAATAATTTATTATCAGCTGACTGGACAAATAGAAATCCACCAAGAAGAAAAATGCGCCGCACGTTATCATTGATATTTTATGCGCCATACGTTATCATTTCCAGAAATACCCCGATATTAATAATTACACCAGTGAATCTAGCCAAAATGGGCATGAATGATTACTTGACAACATATTACAAATTTTTAAAGTCAGTGGTTTCAGTTAATATACATATATGTAAAAGAAACAGCGAATTTGAGTGAAGAAGCCGTACGTTACCACGATCAAACCGGTGGAAAATTCTCTCGCTTCGAATCTGGTGACGCGCATTTCAGAAGAAGTACGGGACGAAACACCATGAAATAAATTTCTGTGTGCAAGGAAAATTGTGTAGAAGGTTGTTATATGTACCTTTACACAAGAACATCATGAATTTCAGAGAAAAAAGGGAAAAACCTACTTTTTGGCTGCATCCGCCATCTTGTTTGTTTGGGTAACGAACGGCGTGATTCCTCCCCGTGTGTTATAGGAAGGGGAAGATGTGGAGGGGGCTACCTTGAGGTAGTACTTAATACCACTTAGTTTTGAGTATTGATTTTGAATTAAT